GCGGGGGGCAGAGTTTTGGATTTAACATATCTGATTCATATCTGAATAATGTGGCACTGAGACATAACTTTAACTGTCAGCTTTCAGTTTCTGTCTGCTGTGCTTCTCTTTTGCTAACCTGTGAGCTTACTCCCAACTCGCCCCGCTCACTTTCCTGGGGAATCTTGCCTTGCACGCCTCACTAGGCAGATTTGTGATTTGTGATAAAAAAACTGACCCTTTGCAATGGGCTCCCAAAATGGGTTTCATACTTTCCTTCTGACGCCATCATTTTTATCATAATTTTGTAGCTGAACAGTTTCTTTAAATAGAATTCATTGCCAAGGCTTGATTGCAATGGTGAGTCATTAAACATAATGACAGTAAATGGATCCTATTTATTCCTGCTGCTTAATCCAGCTCTTGGCTTTAGAGAAAAGCTCATCTCTCGCCTTCTCAAAATCAACTAAATACAAAGACTTGTGCACGTGAAAAGAAAATAGCTCTCACATTTTGTACTAATGTTATTTTCTTCACCAACATTTGTATATTGCCATATCATAATCAAGAAGGATGTAGTTATCGGACTTCTGGGGAGGATTCAGGGCTGGTTATATTCACATCTGCTGTTGACAGGGGTAATTAAGGGGCGATTACAATAGCTTCCAGTGTGACATAAGGTATGGAAAACACATGCACGTCCAGACCTTGCCTGCCTGCTTTAATATTAGGATTGGGACTAAGAGAAGGGAAATTAATTTTTAAAACCTGTTTGTATGGGCTAAGGACTTCTATCCATCCTTCCTTACAGTTGACCCTTCCGATTCATCCTGTTTTATTAGTATACGTGAGAATATATATTAAAATAAAAGATTGAAAATAGGGAAGAAACACCTCTTTTTTCTTACTCGTCCCTGGGAAATCCAAGGCTAGTAGTGCTGTGGCTTCTGTGCTTGAGGGAGGGGAGCTATCAGGTAGGGGGCTTCTGATCTCCGCATCTGTCAGACCAGACCAGCCATGCAGGAGTCTATAGGGAGAGAAAAAGAAGACAAATCCAGCAGAAACCAAATACTGAAGTGAAAAGGGAAATTAAACAAATGAAGTGGAAGTTAATTAAATAAAACTTCTCAGGAAAATTGCCAGAGTTCAGATCAACGTTGTAAAGGAATGAATGCCAAAATATTCAATGCCACTAATTGAATTGTTCAATGCTATTAATGAGGTGCATAGATTTTTTAAAAAAGAACAGTGACAGAATGAATACGGTGGGGATGTTTGATGTTCATTATAATAAATTTGCTTTAATTCTCCTACTGGAGCACCATTACTTGATATATTAATTACAACTATAATTGGAAAGGTCATCACTTGCCAACAGCTTTCACATCTAAGAAGAAATATTACTGGTTAGAAAGTCATCTTTTGGCAGTCAGACAATTGTGGAGATGAAAAATTTCAGTGTGATCCATTGAAATAATTAGGCAGGACACATTGGCAAAATATTTTAGTATTATGTCCACCTCATGTCTCCAAGCTTGAGACGTTCCAGGGGTCCAGCACTTAGCCAGGCCCAGTTTCCTCTGGTGGGAAGCCACAGGCGTCTCGTAATGTCTGAGTTCATTCTCCCATCTCGACTGGAGCATCAATGGAAGCCCTGCATAAACACTTCAACAGACTGGCCCAGGCAGAGTTCACTGCTTCCGCCTCTTATCTCTAGAGAGGAACAGCAAGCACCTCGTGTTTTAAGCTCACAGAGCTTACAGAGTTTGCCATCTTTCATACTGTTGTAAGTTCAGTTCAGTGCAGTTCAATTTATTGTGTCTAGCAAACAGCCACTACACACGTGAAAATAATAATGACAAGAATACAACTATGAATAGTGGTTTAAAATTTCTACTCCCTGACCTTGAGAGGATAAATCATTTCCCATTCCCCTTTTAAGCTTTATTACAGAATTTGTAAAGCCTTTGCAAGAAAATTGGGTCTTCTAAAGGATATATACCTCTCCACATCGGACAGCATAAAATAGGTCTTTTCAAAAGACGTCCTTCTCTTCTGCAGTCTTAACGATGGACAGTCGTGGAGGAAGGAGGGTGCAGTGGGTCTGCCCTGGGTGTCATCCCCGGGGGGGTGACATTCAGTGCGCTGCGAATGGGTACGCTTGGGAATTGCGGGCGGGCAGCGCGACAAATGTCCGCCATTGGGGGCTCGCTCTGCCCCTGAGCAGCTATCCCATGCTCCACCCCCCCTCGGGAGCACGTCTGCCCTGGGCAGCGCAGGCCTATGCTCCGCCGCTGACAATGGATGCATTGTTATAAACCCTATAAATTTATAAATGGTAGGGTTTTGATTATTTGGGATGTGAAGGGAGAAGTACGGCAGAGGAATTTCTGAGCTAGCCTATGTAAAAGAACCTGGCCAAGCCAGGACCATTAAGAAGTGTCCACCCCAGGTGTGAACAGAGGCTGAGGATCTCGAAGGTCACTGGGTGTGAGGTGACGGGGGAAGACTGTCTTTAGCTAGGGTGCCATATTTCAAAATGTGAAAATCCAGACAGAAAAGTTGTTGAGTTGACCATGCTGTGAAAGCTGGACTCCCTCCCTCTAAACTCAGGTGTAAATAAATCCTATTTCTCAAAGCTGTGACAGCCTCTGCCAGGTTTTCAATTCTCCAAAAGCAGCACAGATCCTGGCTGAGGGCTGCTCACAGCTTGGCCGGGACTGGGGTGGCTGGTAACAATCCTGTATCTCAAACCGCAGTCCCAGCTGGACTGCAATATCCTAAAGTGGGAGGGGGGATTCCTCCTCCTGCTCCCTTTCATTAGCGCTCTTTTGTCAAGATCAGTGCAATTTGGTTTGCGTTACAGAGACCTGGCTGGGTGAAGCCTGGCCTATTCCCTCTCATCTCTGCAACAGCAGGTGAGACCTAGTGGCGGAGGCAGGTGGGGGGTTGCTGCCTGCAGGGAGGGGGCATTGCAGGGGTCTGTCCCTGCCCCACAGTCTACTGGCTTTGAGGGCAGGCTGGGTTTGAGCAGTTGCCCAGGAAAGATTCTGCTGCTGTGCCACCAGCCGCCCAGCAGTTCAACTGTCTTCTTTATGTTGGAGAAGTAATATGAGGAAGTTTGCTTTACAGTAGATCTTCTGCATCTGGAATGATGAAATGGAAACAACATACTCATTAGTTATTTCATTTGGCTATATTAAAGATTTGGTCTTGACAGATAATAGAGAAATTGTCCTAAATTAATTAATTGCAGCTCATTTGACCATTTCTCATAAATGGAAAAATATAAGAAATCCAGTACTCAATGATTGGATAATAAAAGTATGGAAGATAGTAAGTTTGATCAAATTAACATGGTCAGAGTCAGAGAATGAAGAGAGCTATATAATGATTTCATTGACAAATGGAAAATCTTTATAATGTATTAGAGAGAAAAAAGAATATTTTTTTTAAAAAAACACTTTGAAGTATGATGAAGTCTGCTTTGTGCATATGTATTTGTACTCTCTCTAGTTCAGTATACAATTATGTGTTTATTCTATCCATTTTCAAAACTAATAATACTAAGCATCAATAAATAAATAGCATCAAAAGAATAATCAGTAGATAAATGTCAGAAAAGGGAGTCAATGGAAATTCACGAAAGTTGAATACCTGCACCAGTAAGGTGTTTTGAGGGGAAATATCTCTCCCTCTCTTCTGAAAAACAGGAAATAGGAGAACATTTGGTAGAGTTTCTAATCATATTATACAATAAATGCACATCTTCAGCATGTGGCTGCAATCCTGTACACAGTTAGGTTGTTTAAGAAGGTCCATTGATGTCCAAGGGATTTGGGTAGCCTGTGCCTAAGATTGCAGGTAATGTTTAACAGTGCACCTGTTGTACGTTTTCATTTTTAAAGTGACAATTCAACATAAAAATGAGCCTAGCCGTTTCAGCTTCTACAAATAGGTTTTCTTAAATTTCTAACTGGCTTTCCTAATATAACAGAACCTTCTGCACTCACGAAGAATCCCCAGACGGCAGCTTGTACTGCATAGCAGATTAGAAGAACAGAAACATTTTCACGACTCAGTGAACCTCCGTGCTGCTTTAGTGGTCTCTAAAGCTGGGCTTCACCTGCGAATACCCACCTCCCCTCCGTTGCCAATAACAGACGTCCTGGACTTGTGTAGGCCTACAGTTGTGTAAAGAGTCTGACACCCCCAGCTAGCATTTTGAATCAGCAGCATTATTTATTAGATATCATTTTAATTACTTGCCATTCATCTTTCTTTTAAATCAGTGCAATTTAACATAGTGAACTGAAAGAGAATTTGACTTGCTCCTTTGCCCATTAATAAAGGAAGCAGAAGGACCAGATAAAGTTGAGCTAAGCCTTCAAATCTGCTTCACTCTCCAAAGGATCATATGTGGTGTCGTGTAGCCTGGGGTGAGGGGGGGGGGCTTGGTCATCTGAGGGGCTCCAGGCTTTGAAAAAAGCCCGGTGAAGACTGGAGCACGAGTGGTGCAAGCCTCCCTGTGAAGTGACCAAGCACTGGCTTAATTTTGCCCACCATGCGGGCTGCAAAAAGGGCTCATTTTACAGCCTGCATTGCATCCCCTAGTAGCCGGCCAGCGGAGTTATTTCAGACAGTCCAGAGGTTACTGCCTCCCACTGCAGGGAGGGACCTCTTCAGCCCTCAACAGCCCCTTGGGACCAACCAGCGACACACTATGAGAATAAAGTGGCTCAACTTTGGAGATTCTGCACCTGCAGCCAGTGCCCACATGGAGGATGTGTTGTGGGACCAGTTTCATTATGCGATCAGCTGGTGTGGACAAAGTACTGGCATCAATGCATCCGACCACTTGCCCTCTCTTTTTATATATATAATTTTTTATTGGTTTTTTCCACAATTTTATACATTTTAACATAACCATTTCAAACATTCAAGTACTGTACAAGGTTCTTTTGAACCTTCAGACCTCCTTCCCTCCCTCCCTGGGTTCCATGTTTAAGATTAAATTTACTGCATCTTTTACCGTTATCCATCTGTTAAATATCCATAATTAACATTAAAAAATCCCACATTGCAAGTGTCATTACATCCCTGCCAGTGATTTTAACTGTTTACAGAGGTCTTTTAAATAAATTACAACTTTACTCCAGTCTTTGGAAAATACTTGATCTTCCTGGTTTCGGATCTTCCCCATCGGTTTCGCCATCTCTGCATCTCCATCAGATTCATCTGCCACTCTTCTTTGGTTGGGACTTCTCCTTCCTTCCATCTCTGGGCTGGTAGCATTCTTGATGCTGTTGCTGCATACATAAAAAGTATTTTATCCTTTCTTGGTAACACTTCACCTATTATACCTAGTAAAAAGGCTTCTGTTTTTTTTAACAAATGTATTTTTAAACATTTTCTTTAGTTCATTATATACCATTACCCAGAAAGCCTTTACCAATGTACATGTCCACCACATATGGTAAAAAGGACCCTCCCTCCCATTACATTTCCAACACAGATTTGAACTTGTTTTGTACATTTTTGCAATTTTACTCGGTGTTAGATACCAATAGTACATCATTTTTGTATAGTTTTCTTTCAACAAACAGCATCCAGTAAACTTTATTTCCTCTTTCCATAACTTTTCCCAAGATGAAAGTTGAATATTGTACCCAAAATCTCTAGCCCAATGTATCATCACTGCCTTAACTTCTTCATCTTTTGTATACCATTCTAAAAGTAATTTGTACATTTTTATAACACTTTCACATTATTTTCCAGCAGTTCTTTTTCAAACCTTGATCTCACTGTATCAAAACCTTTTTTTTAATCAATCATTTAATTGGTGATGCTGTAGCCAATCCGTTAATAATTCTCTAATATCTTCAAATTTTCTCAGTTTTAGTTGCTCTCCTGCCTCTATTAACAAGTCCTTATAGGTGGCTCAATCACCTCTCAGATTTAATTTTTTAACCAAAATTGCTTCCAAGGGAGAGAGCCACCAGGGTGTCCTCCATTCTAATAAATTTTTGTACTTATCTCAATACCTCGTAGATTGATTTTCTTATCAAGTGGTTCAGGAATCCTTTTTGTGCTTTCGTTTTATCATACCATAAATATGCGTGCCACCCAAACAACCGCGTGGCCTCTCAACCCCTGTCCTTCCTGGCTTCTAAGATATTGCAGAGGGGGTCTGACTGGTTGCGTCCAGAGCCTGGCTATTGCTTCATTGCCTGAGGGGATGGTTCCTGCCACCAGTCACAGCTTAGGTTCAAGCTACCCGAAAGACGAAATCCTCTCAGTCTCGCCTCCCTCACAGGCACGTTTGGTGGGGATGCGCGAGAGGGCCTTCTCGGTGGTTGCTCCCAGGCAGCATTGGGATTCCCTCCCTAGAGGAACTAGAATGGCTCCTTCCTTGCTGTCCTTCCACGGATCTTTTTGTTCCAGCAGAGTTTTGGGAACTGCCTGCTTTTAATGAAAGGGCTGGGGCCATGCTCTTTTAATTGTAATCATTGGTATGTTTTAAACAGGGGTGTGTGTTTTAACTCTATCTATGCTTAATTGCTTTTTAATGATTGCTTTTTCTATGTTTTTAGCAGTTCTTGTTTTTATCTCTAAAGCATATTGAGCCCTGTCATGGAAAAAGTTGGGATATAAACAAATATATATTATTGTAATAATTTGCACCACCCTGACTCTCTCTCCCATAAGCAGAACTGAAGTTATTTTGGCCATGGATCGGGTGGGGTGTGTTGGGGGGCATTTTGAGGAGACCTTTAGCAAAGATAGCACGCACTCTGTTTCTAATAATGAAATAATATCCATATGTGTGTGTGGATCTTTTGAAGCTTTTCTCCTAATGAGTGTGGAAGATCTTCCCCACCTGCTCCCCCCACCCCCCGCCTGCACTGTGCATTAGGCCCCGTGCAGCAACTTGTTCTCTCAGCCTGTGCTGTGAAGCAGTAATCATCTTCAAAGTGAGAATATCATGTTCCTAAGCAGTGGGGTACGGCAGCCTTTGAGATTTCTGCTTCTGTAACACCAGCCCTGGTTCTGGGGCAGCGTTTCCAATCACCTACCCAAAGAGAATCCGCAGGAGAGCAGCAGCTGCCAGGTTCTTGTGGAAAATGAAGGCTGGTAGCTGGAAAACAGCAATAATGCCAGTTGCAAAGGCTGGATGGAACCAGGTACAAAAGCTGCAAAAATAAAAAATAAAAATAAAGCACAGCATTAATGTTGGCACCCTTATGCATATGCTATCAATTCAGCCGAATGCTGTTTCACTTTGTCATATAACACAATCATATCCTAGAACAGTAAACACACCTAACTTCTCCAGAGTTCTTTTCCTGGCTTCCACTGGTAGCCCCAGGGCTTCCCCACACTTCCATTTGTTTTGTCCTAGACGGGTCTTGGTGGTTTTCCGCTTGACCCACATTTGCGTGCCGACGCACCTGAGCCACAAAGTTCCCAGGAGAACAATAAAGCACATGGACACAGAGTATTTTGGTTTATGGGTTCAAATAGGCCACAACTTTATTGGTTACAGATGTGAATGGTTTGGCTTAGGCATTGGGGTGATGCCAGGCTATATCTTGACTCCTGCCCGTCTGCACTGAAGGGTAGACCACTGATAGGAGTGCCCTATGCCTTACATCAAATAGGGGCACCCTGAGGGGTTCCCATTGGGTCTGTGACACGGCCTTAGCCCATGCCCAGGCTTCAGGCAGGATTCACACCCTGGATCCCTTTAACAGGGTACCCTTGGTGAGGAGGGGCAGGCTAAGGCTACAACCTCTCCTCCAACCAAACGACGGCTTACCCAATGCCTGACCTCACACAAAGGTGTGACATTTGCTGTTAGGTAGGCGAAAACCAAATGGCCAGTGACAATTTGCCAAGTGGAAAAATTCCTACCCGGCCCCAACAATATGGCGACCGACAATTGTCCATAGCAAGGTCATATCTGAGCAAAGCATGAAAAGAGGGTGGGTGAGTTGGCTGATCCGGTGATGGGGAGAGGGGGGGCCAGCCGGCCGCACAAGTGGCCACACCCACAAAGAGAGCTGATTGGCTGGGGCTGTCCCACAAGGGCATGGCGCAGGTAAGAGGTGGCAAATCATTGAACTATCCATTCTGACCCTAAGGTCACATTCCTGGTGAAGCCCTGCCAGTTCAGACTGTTGTGTATTGAAGTTCTCCCCCTGGCCACCAGGAGTATCGTGCATATAGTTTTCACTCAGGTCCACGTCAGTTACTTTAGGTGGGAAACCCTGGGTTGCTGTTGCTACAGTGTTGACAGCCGGCTGCCTATAAAAGCAGGCCGGCAGAGCTGTTTGCTGTTCAGTTCTGTTTCAGCTTACAAATAAAGAGCTGCTTTGGAGAAATCGCTGCGTCATCTGCTATGTCTACCCACTATTTAACACAGACCCCATTCATATACATGTGAAATTAAAATTTTGGGTTCAGTGTGCATCATTTTGCAATTGTTTACAGTGAATTGAACTTGCTATTTTACTGCTCATTTCCCCAGCTTGAAGAGGTGCTTCTGGAGTTCCTTGCAGACTATTTTTGTGTCCATCTAAGCTGGGCTGCGTTGAAAGGCATTTTGTGAGAATCTACTCACAAAAAAGTATCTTGCATGCAGGCAACTAGGCTTCTCTCTCTCTCTCTCTCTCTCTCTCTCTCTCTCACACACACACACACACACACACACACACTTATATAAACACACACTGTGATTTACTGAGTGATTCGTTTTGCAACAGAAGAAAAGTATTTTGTAAAACACTGCACAGAGGTGTTCAAGATTACAATGACTCATAGAGCAATTTCCTCATACCCTAATTTACCATTCTTCTTCATAAAATTATGGCTAAATTATAACATTTACTGTCAGATTAACAGGCCCTAAAAGGTCAAAGTAGAAATGTGTCCATTAATTAGTGAAAGGTTAATGCAATAATTTGATACAACATCAGTCAAAAGGCACTCTCTGACAATAATTTACATTATAATGTGCCCTTTTAAACTCTTAATATACAACTGTTCAGGGCAGGGAAGGAAGCTTTCTCAATAACAGTTTGGCTGTGATTTATTGCTGAATGGATGATTCAAGAGTGTGTGCCAAAGATGTTAGAAATAAAGACAAAGGCTGATTTTCTGGGTTACTCCAAAACATGCCTAAATTATTTATATGATTTTATGTCTGTATTTACAATCGCAAGATACGACATATTGCTGCTAACTGCACCACTTTCATTTCCCATTAAGTAGATCAAGGACAAGTGACATTTTAAGGCTCAAAAAATGTATCCAGCAAAATGACAGACTAGCAAGAGCGTATTGCAGAAAGGGAGATCCTGGAAATCCTATGAAATGAAGCGTAGTAAGTTAAGTGAAATGCAAGGATGGAGGAGAGACACAGAGAAACAAAACCAAAAGGACAAAACAGTTTTATATCAAAGCTACAGTCCTTGTGATTCTTTCCCTTGCCCTCTCTACCTTTTCTTTATCATCTTCTTTCCTTTTGCAGTTTATCCATAGTTTTCTCTTTTCCATTCTCCCCTTCTAGCTCCTTAGCCATTTCCTCCCTTCCACAGTCCTGTTACTAGTTTTGCTTGATATTATAAATAAATAAAAGCTAATTCCCATCTATGAGTTAAACCTTTCTTCCTTAGCATTATAGTAAGGAAGCTCCACTTTTTCTTTTATGTGGGTTATTGGTGAAATATCTGGGGGAAACAGGAATTCATGGCCACCTGCCATTGCCAGCGGATTCTGCCTCATCACTGACATCAACGTTTCCTTCTCCTAAATTGCAATAGAATTCACTTTTAATTTATTCTTGGCCCTTTTTGAATTCTCCCTATCTGTGTGCTCTAGTTGTGCTGCTTTTACCCCTCTCTTGTTTCTAACATTGCACCAAGCAGCTCTTCCGAAAAGGCTTCCAAACCTGGTGCTTCTTTCAATCCTCTTATATTTATTCCCAAATCTACATCCCAAATTATCTCACATTCTTTTTTCTAGGTCTGCTTCTTTCCATGTTCCCCTTGCTGCTGCCTCTTCTTGTTTCACTGTGTTACAAAAGTCGGGTGTCACTCCAGACTCTCTCTGCCGAGCGGTAGTAAGATCCCCCGGGGGGGGGGCGGGATCCAGGCACTCTCCCGGGGTCTGGGTTCCTTTGGAGAATGGAGTCTGGAGGAGAGTGCTGTAGCTTTAAGAAATGTGGTTTATTCACTTATCTGCACCTTCAGTCTGCATAATATTTTGTACAAAAATCTCTGGCCATGCACACCTTATATTTACAGTGAATTATAATTAGTTTGAAAGCACATCAAAATGCAAGTAGATAAATAGGTACCGCTCCGGTGGGAAGGTAAACGGTGTTTCCGTGTGCTGCTCTGGTTCGCCAGAAGCAGCTTAGTCATGCTGGCCACATGACCCGGAAGCTGTACGCCGGCTCCCTCGGCCAATAAAGCGAGATGAGCGCCGCAAGCCCAGAGTCGGTCACAACTGGACCGAATGATCAGGGGTCCCTTTACCTTTTTATAGTTAGGGGGATGGATGCTCCCTGGCTCTTGAATTGCAAGGGGAGAGAATTGAAGAGGTTTATCGTTCGCAATATATTTGCATTCAAAATGCTTAATTTTGGCCAGATAGTGCTCTAATCATTTATAAGCCAGATGGTTAATCATTTTTTAAAAAAAATAAAAGGTTATAGTAGCACTATAGGCCTATTTAAGAAGTTTTCCTAGCTATTTTGAACAATAATAGTGTCCTCTTTGGCAAACAAAATGTTAATATTTTGTACAAAAATCTCTAGCCATCCACACCTCATATTTACCATGAACTATAAATAAGGGGATGGATGTCCCCTGGCTTTTGAACTGCAAAGGGATAGAATTGAAGAAGTTTAACATTTGCAGTATATCTGCATTCATAAACTGCCATACACACAAAATGTGAAAAGGAAAAGCAGCAAAACCCCTTTTCAGCTCATTGCTCCAGGATCTTTTCTCCTGAAAGGCATCTATTTCCTTCCTAGCCTGTCACTTTAGATTGTAAGGATCAGCAAGAAGCAAGCCTAACAAACTCTAAAGTGATATAACCATGCTCCAGACAGCTCAGTTATATAAATGAGATCTTCTTCCAGCCCTGTTCCAGATAATTGGTGGGAGTCCTTGCCCTGTATGTAAAGCAGAGAATGAAGAAACAGATTTTGGGCCATGGCAGGGAGCTCCTCAGCCGCCAAGGAGCAGTTAAGACAGAACTGGGCAGGTGAATCTAAGCCCGCTTTAACTGCGTGTTCAGACCCAGAAACCTCCCCCCTAAATAAATTCACACTTGACTCAAATTTTGGTTTTGGTTTTTGGCAGAATTTAGGCCATAGCTTTATTGAATACAGAAAGTGACTGGTTGCATAGGCTCTGGTTTGACTAGCTCCCTGCCATGTAGGTAAGCGCTGACCCAGGGTTCCAACATAGGTCAGCCTAGGGTGAACACCTGGATAAGCGGAAAGCCGGGAACAGGCTATCTCCACCACCCAAATGTCCCCCTGGACTCAGGCACGGGCACAACCCCGTCTCAGGGGTTGACCAAACCATCGAGGCCCTGGATTCCTTTACCGGAATACCCTTCACATAGGGATGGCGAGAGCATTCTCCCATCCCTATCACCTGAACCAGAGCCTATCTGCAACCTTACAAGTTGTGATGATTTGCTACGTGGCAGGCAAAACCCAAATGGCAACAGCCAATCAGCCAAGTGGGGGAAATTCCTGCCGTGCCCCTTTCTCAAGGACAGACGACACACGACGGCATAGCAAGGTCAAGCACAAAGCCCTAAAAGTAGGGAGAGGTGGGTGGGTGTTCCGATGCATGCACCGAAAGAGAAAGCTCTGGGTCACGTGCATGGGCATAAATAGGTCCCTCAAACCATTTGGACTGCGCCCCATTGGCCAGATTGCATCCAACTACGAGGGACCTACCAATCAGGTGTTGTGACTGACCAATCGTACCCACCCACAACACAGGGAGTCGGTTTTCCAGGTCTCACCGCAATACGCGCCCTCTTTAAGGGAGGACCCAATTTCTTAAAGATTACTGCAGTCTCAGTTTTCATGCTATGTGTATGAGACAAAAACCTTAAGAATAATTTATTTTATCCACACATCTCCCAGTGTCCCAAAAGGCTTGTTTTTGGCATTCAATGTGAAATGGAAAATCTGACTTCAGCCAGTCTGCTGAATTTTTTATTTCTCTTCTGGTTTTGCAGCATTCGGGTTTCAAGTTGTTTGTGCACTAAGCTGTTCAAAAACTGAGGTACTACTGTATTCTCTTTAAGCTTGAGTAGTTCTTCGGAGTTGTTTAGGCTGAGATCCAGTGTCTACCGCCAAATTGGCGATGTCTTCCAAATGCACACCTAAGTCAGTGAGCCTGCTTTCTAGTGGCTTTTGGCTAGCTCTGCTTCGAAGCTTTGGAGCTGAGCTGTCCAGTCATCCTTGAGACTGAGTGCTTCTGGCTCCAAAGAAGTCATCCCTGAAATATTTTTGTCCTTGCTGTATTTAGCAGGTTGGGCTGTCAGTTTTAGTCAAATCCCCTTCTTTGATCCCCAGTGCTCAGGCAGCATGTCCTAATACTCCACTGATGAACTGTGAGTAAAATAAGTTTTTCTGCTATTGCAGGAGGAGTTTGTATACCAAAGGACTGATGAAATTAGGGAATTAAGCAGCTATTCATCAGCTGACAGCAATTTCCCACCTTCAGTATTGTTATGAGTGTTTTTTGGTGGAGAGTAAGCTGTAGGCCAAGACTCTCCTCAGCACTGGATCCAGCAAGCATAGGAGCCAGCTCCACCTAGATGCTGAGGTCCCTTCACCCCCCATAAAATATTCAGTGGGGCTGGAGTCTGGACCCCCCAAAGTTGATGAGCATTGCCATTCAAATGTTGAGTGTGTGCTGAATCTTGTGATTGATTATGCAGGGCACGGCTTACCTGCCCCCCTCATATATTTTTTAAGTTAGCACTCCTGCCAGTAAGTGTCAAATATAAGCCGGGCTAACTTCCTATTGAGGTGGAATAAGCCATTATGGGGAATAGAGGAAAGTGGCTCTCTGCAAGTCGGCAGGTGGGTGGCCCTCCCACAACTTATGGGTAGTTAGAGCGACAAAGCCAGAGTTGAGAGTTTGGAGTGATGTAAGCTAGAAGAAAATCAGCAAGCAGGAGAGAGAGTCAGAATGACGTTTGATTTCTGTTTGAATCTGAGGCTGTGGCTATGGGGGAAAGCAAGGCCCTCTTGGGGTGCTAATGCTGTGAACCCCCCATCCTAGGCTCTGGGTGTATATATGTGTATCACAAAGACACCCCAGTCTTCGCTGTGCCTCATTCCCAAAAGGAAACACAAACCCTGGCTAAGCACCTGCGACCCCTGGAATCTCACACTGCTTAGAGATTGGGGTGGCTGCAAACATATAAATTTACAGAGGTGCACATAAGTTTAGCCATTTATGTGTTCACTCTTTATCTTATTGGGGTTGGGGTCAGCAACCAGCACCCGCTGCTGCCCGTCTGCTGCAGCCAGCACCCCCAACTTGAAAAGTCAACGATCTGCCAGTGGAGAAGGTCGGTTCCTACTTAGGCCCCCATAGCCCAGGTCAAAGCTCCGAGCACTGAGGGAGTAGCAGCGGGTGACCACAGGCATGCGGAGCGTGGCCTTGGCAGCCCCACTCTGCAAGGACCAGCTGCCCACTGACTCCCAGCCCCAGGGAGGAGGAGGAGGCTGGGCTGGGCCTCTGTGCCATGATGCCGAGACAAATGAAAATCACCGCCAGATTTCTAACCCTTATGGCAAGTTGTGTCAACATAAAAAAAAGGTAAAGGACCCCTGACAGTTAAGTCCAGTTGCAGACGACTCTGGGGTTGTGGCGCTCATCTCGCTTTACAGGCCAAGGGAGCTGGCGTTTGTCCGCAGACAGTTTTTCTGGGTCATGTGGCCAGCATGACCAAGCTGCTTCTGGCGAACCAGAGCAGCGCATGGAAACGCCGTTTACCTTTCCGCCGGAGCGGTACCTATTTATCTACTGGCACTTTTGGCGTGCTTTCGAACTGCTAGGTTGGCAGAAGCTGGGACCGAGTAACAGGAGCTCACTCCGTCACAGGGATTCAAACTGCTGACCTTCTGATCGCCAAGCCCAAGAGGCTCAGTGGTTTAGACCACAGCGCCACCCGCTGTGTTGACATACAGCTGTACAAATCACCACTGGATTGACTAGGCATTCAGACAATTCTCATAACAGAGGATACAGGTTTTGCAACTTTAAAAAGTCACTGTTTAAAAGGGACCCAACAAACACATAGTTATTTAAATTTCTGAACCACTGTAATATTTACATTAATAATTTAGCTGATCAAAAATCTGACCCAATTGTTAAAAGTTGTCATGCTTGACGTATGAATGTAATTACATGTAACAAATGCAATTACATCTACAATTAAATTATACTTTCTAATTCATCCCAATTCTCCCTTCTCATCTTTGAAGTGAATATGATTGATTACTACTTAGCTTTAATTTAAGCAGCTGTTATTGCTAGGTATTATTTGCCATGTCTCCCTTTTTGTACAGTTTTCAGCATACAGGCAACTCTCCATTTACACAGGGGTTACAAGGCACCACATGTTTAAGCGAAATAGCATATATTTGAAATGACATTGGAAAAGTCTGCAAACGACCTCTAAACCTCTGGAAGCCCTTTTAATTTCAGAGCCTTTGATTGGTTGACTGACCAAACCCAAGCAGTACTCATTCGAGGTTCCTCGTCATCCTGGGGAAAAGTGACCAGTGGGGTTCTGCAGGGTTCTGTCCTGGGCCTGTTGTTGTTCAACGTCTTTATAAATGACTTGGATGAAGGAATTGAGGGGATGCTCATCAAATTTGCAGGTGACACCAAACTGGGAGGGGGAGCTAACACCGCAGACAGAATCAGAATTCAAAATGACCTTAACAGATTGGAGAACTGGGCGCAAGCTAACAAAGTGAATTTCAATAGGGATAAATGCCAGGTTCTGCACTTAGGCAGGAAGAACCAGGTGCACAAATAGAGGATGGGGAACACCTGGCTTACTAACAGTACATGTGGAAAGGATCTGGGGGTCTTGGTGGACCACACGCTTAACATAACAGTGGGATGCAGCAGCAGCAAAAAAGCTAATGCTATTCTAGGCTGCATCAACGGAAGTCCAGTGTCCAGATCAAGGGAAGTCAGAGTCCCACTCTATTCTGCCTTGGTCAGACCACATCTGGAGACTTGTGTCCAATTCTGGGCACCACAATTTAAGGAGGATGTTGACAAGCTGGAATGTGTGCAGAGGAGAGCAACTAAGGAGATCATGGGTCTGGAAACAAAGGAGCGCTTGAAGGAGCTGAATTTGTTCAGTCTGGAAAAGAAGAGACTGAGAGGAGATACGATAGCCAACTTCAAATATCTTAAGGCTTGTCACATGGAAGAGGGAGCATGCTTGTTTTCTCCTGCTCTGGAGAGTAGGACTCAAACCAATGGCTTCAAATTACAAGAAAGAAGATTCCGACTAAACATTTAGAAAAACTTTCTGACAGTAAGAACTGTTTGGCAGTGGGAGGTAGTGGACTCTCCTTCCTTGGAGATTTTTAAACAGAGGCTGGATGTCCATCTGTCATGGATGTTTTAGCTGAGATTCCTCCATTGTAGGGGGTTGGGCTAGATGATCCTTGGATCTCTTCCAATTCTATGATTCTATGGAAAACCCTTTACAAAGCCAGTAGCACTTACCAGATGCCAAAGTCCACCACAATCACTTCCTCCAAACCTCCTTGCTGAAACTCCAACTCTTCATAGGCCTCCACAGGATTGCTAGGAGCTGTTTTTGCTGATTTTTTGCCCTTTCTGGGCTCTTTTAGGGCTGCTTTTGCCTTTTTTAAAGTCACTTCCAGGTTTGGCATAATGCACACAGTTGAGCATCAATTGGACCTGTGTAAATTGGGAGCTGCCTTGCCCAACCTGGTGCCCCCTATATTTTGTGGACTACAGTCCCATCATCTCTGACCATCAGCCATGCTGACTGGAGATACTGGGAGTTGTATCCAAAACACCTGGAAGGCCCTAAGTTGGGGAAGAGTCAGTTAGTACAAATGCAGCACTTCGACACTTATTTTTTAGTTCATTAAATTAATTTCATTTATGAAATATTTTTTATAACTTTAATGTAAATCTAAGGCTACATTCCTATAGGTTTTTGCTGTTTTCCCTACACTACTGTGCCCTTCAGTCCCTCCTCCACCATAACATGTCAGACTATGGCACTGTTCACAGGGAAAGTCGCTGGATGATTGCACTGCAAGCTGACAATAGCATATTGATCAGGTACTTGTAAGGATGAGTGGGGAAAGACCATAGGTACCCACGATACAAAGAAAATACACAAATCACAGGCGCGAAAGAACATAGTCCCATTTTCTTGTTTTCTCAAAGTAAAGCTGAATTCCAGACATCTGTGTCAAGATTTCAGCACAGGCTTCAGCTTCTCAAATCCATCCATTTTAATCCAAAACTCGAAAGTAGCCAAATGTCAGGACATTACTAAGAAAGTGACATACAGTCCTCAAACAGGGCAGCAGCCAATGGTCTGAATCATTAGAACTGGCCCAGGAGATTTATTGTAGCCCATCAATTTAACTCCTTTTATGTGGGGGGGGGGGAGGGCTCTTCTTGGGCATCTACGAAATAGGACATTTGCTCCTGGCTGCCAGTAGATTAAATCCCAGCAGCAAGAACACAGAAGGGAAATGGAAAGCATTTTGGAAGAATAAAATGCACATGTGCCCATGGGCTGTTTATGGTCGTCAGTCATATAAATTTACTAGGTGCTAAAAGGCAGGCAAATATTGATTACTATATGTCCAGGTGATAGAACTGTTCAGAGGCTGGTCCTCTGCTTGCTGAGGTCTAAAACACTTCCAGATACCATCTTCCAGCCAAGGCAGCTGAGAGGACACGAGAGAAGAACTGCTGCAATGGAAGAAACTTTACAATTCATCTGAAGAGTGTGGATGTACTCATACACACACACACACACACACACACACACACACACACACACAGAGAGAGAGAGAGAGAGATGGAGATGGTGGGATTTCTTGATCACCAACACCCATGGCAGCTGGTGAGACAATCCAGTGCTCTGTCTCCTTTTTTGCAATTTACTGGCTTCTATTCCTGTGACCACTGCAGAAGGAATGAGTCAGACTCCATTTCAGCAAACGCAGGAAACACAGTTGTGCAAACTACACAATTCTCTATGTAAATTCTAATTGTGCAACTATTTTGCATGTCTGATTTGTTTTTCCCTTTGAAGTGTCTTCATTTACTCTTTTCATGGCAGCCAGTAACGTTCTTCATTGTCTTTCAGCTCCTGTCTGCTGCAGGAAAGCCAGGTGTTTGTGTGTGTTCTGCTAGTACTTGCCTAGGTTGGCATCCTTCTATCTTGGGAGACAATGGAGGAGGTGAGGCCCAACTGTTGGCCGGTTGCAGGACCTGCTGTGGCTGTAGAAACCGATGGGGATAGACGTGTTTTGTTGCAGAGCCCTAGAATAAATAAGCTAGAGTTCAAAGGGGCTCTCTCATTTATGACCCAAGGCCCTTTGACGCTGTTTGAAGTGTGGCTTACTCATCTTCTCCGCCACCTGGGTTCAGACCATCCTATACATGTACAGGATCATATAATACATAAGTGAAGGTGCTCTCTTTGCCCCCGGTAAATTTGGGACCCAGCAATCAGGGACTGAGACTGATGGAGAGGACTGGGGGCGCAATTAGATGGTGATACTGATTTTTCATTAAGATTTTTATATTAATATTTTATTTGGTTTCAAGATTCAAAATTTCATTTTAACACTCAATAATTATAATCCTATTCTACCTGTAATTACATATAGTTGCATTTTAAAGTTCCCTCATACTGAGTTTCATCCTCGTTAGCAGGTTACTTAATATAATCTACTATTTCCCCCCCTTAAACTTCAAACCCCAATGTGGACTTCGTATATAAACAGAGCCGTCTTTCCCATAGAGCTTAGTGGTGCGTCGCGCCAGGGCGCCAGCCTCTCAGGAATGCCCCAGCAAGTGGGGGAGCTGCGCGGCTTTGCCAGCGGCCTCCCCTTTCCCGGCACGCCCCCCCAGCTGCACCCCACCAACCATAAGGCTGGCGGGCGCGCAGCTTCCCTCCCAAGTCTCTGCAGGGATTGCTCTCCTGCAGCATAAAGATTTCATGCCGCTGTGGTTACATACATAAAAACAGTTAAAGGGAAAAAATGGAAAAGACCACCAATTTGTAAAATAATAATAATAATAGTAAAAGGAACTCCCCACCACCACAAGGGACCATTAAACCCGAACAAGCAAAAGATGGCAAGAATGCAGGATCTAAGAGGAGAAAACAAATTGCAGGAAGGTTGTTTATGGAAGTATCAGGTGAGTTGAAGGAAAACCTCTGCTTAACCGAGAACTCCATGGCTGCAAGAAGCACTCAGTGATTAACATTAGTAGAACTTGCGTTGCACAATTAGTTGTGCAATTGGTCCTCAGAACAAACGGTTTGAAGTCAGCTGCATAAATTTGACACAAAAAAGTTTGGGGACAGTTAAAAGATAATTTGCAAGCCAAAAGAATAAACAATGGTGGAGAAAAAACTCTCTTGTTCCTTTCTTTGCTTTGTGGAGCACCAGCGACATCCAGTGGCCACTAAATTCCTGTTATCTCCAACAAACACAGAAACGAACAAACTAGCTAAAGCTATGAGAAGAAACTTAGAACTCCACTGATGCCTGCTGTGTTGTGTAGCCCAGATGGGAAGATTTTGCAGGGAAGGCAATGCCTTTCCAAGCCAGATTAGTGCAGTAGGCAAGAGAGACAGGAATATGGCAGGAGTGGACCACTGGGTGTGCGCTCTCTCTCTCTCTCTCTCTCTCTCACACACACACACACACACACACACACACACACAGACACAACAGAAGCCTTCCAAACTGAGAACTTATTTTCCCCAAACTATACAATCAATTAAAACATTCATTCATTCATTCATTCATTCATTCATTTTAAAGGTAGAATGGGCAAAGTTCCCCGCTTGACCTCTGGGATCAAAATCTGCCAAATCCACTGCCCAAACTCAGGGTTGAGAGCCTTGGCATTGATGAAAGGGAAGGTGAAACAAGCTCCCTGAGCCAATCTGCTACCCCCACCCCATTGGGATAGCCCCCTCTCCCAGCCCTATTCCCTGGGCCGACACCTGAAGCAACCGGCCAGGAAGCCTCTGCTCCCCCAGCCTGCCCATTGGAGGCACTGGCTGAAAAAAGAAGGCTGGGAGTCCACAAGGGATTTGTGCCGTGCTCAGAATAAAGCTGGTTACTACCCCAAAGGTCCTCTCTGACAGGATCTTTCTCTTGCTCACAGACCAAGCAACACAAAGGCAAAAGAGAGTTGAAGGCAGAGTCTGTCCCACGACCTGCACAGGGAGCCTAGGCAGGATCAAAACTGGAGCAGCTGCCCCCCCCCCGCCCATCAAGGTAAGAGTTACTTAATTTGCCCAGTCCTGCCAGGTGGAGTCAGCAGGAAGGACAACGCTCCTCCACTGCAGGAAAATCTATTATTTAAATGACTAGTAATTCTTTAAGCAAAATAAAACACAAAATATTATTGACTACTCCTATGGAACCACCAATGGGATACTGTGGTACTCAAAAGGGCCCCCCCTCCCAATTTTTCCACATTTTTAACATGCTTTTTCAAAATTAAAATGAAAAATCACTCATAGAAAAAAACCATCACAAAAAGAGGCATGAAAAATCAGAGCAAGAGACAAAAAGAGGGCCAGAGACATCAGCAATACATTCCAGACATTTAATTTAATAGAAATTACAACAAGCCTATAAAAAAATTAAAAACACAATGAATGAATGGATCTTTATTACTAAAAGGTATAAGCTGTCGCAATTGGTCACAATGCGTAGAATACAAATAATTGATTTAAAACTGAACAACAGCAACAGCAAAGCAAACTTACAAAAATGTAAAAATCACTCTTGCCTAAGTGAAGTATTACACGTCTCACACTCCCCCTTATGATACTTGTCTTGGTGCCTAGCTCTCAACTTACTTGCAGCCAAGACAAATTCTGGAACCAGTGCAGTAATAAATACATTATTGCCGGCAAGCAAAATAGATTTGCTCAAGGGGAGGTCGGTTGGAAAGAGAGCAAAGGATGCAATCGAGGAATTTTTGTCTAGGGGATATATATAAAAGGCATCGTAACAAATAGTGTTGAATGTCCTCCACTTCTCCCAACCAACTCTTGACTCATCCTGATCCCATAAAAATCTTTGATAATTAGTCCTGGAAATTAGACCTTTCATGGTCAACTCTAAACCCAACTATTTAGCTAAACAACTTAACCATGGCTGGTTTGATGCTCAATGCGTCCCTCAGAAGAACATTCTACAAACACAATAAACATGGATACTCCTTATTTTGCAAGGGGGGTCAGCTGCATTTCCAGCAAACCATAGTTTGTGAAGCTCTGGGTGTATTCCTGCTCTATTGTACTATCCACAGGCTGGAAGTTGGCGAAGACTGGTTATGTTCTGCATTATTAACGTAAACAATAAAATCATACCAAACAGAAAGAAAATTCTCTTCTTCTTTTTAAACCTCCAGAGGCTCTCAGTTTATACAGGCAACCCCTGTTTTGCGTGGGGGTTGCATTTTGGCTCATCACACGTGACGGCGGAGCGTGTACAAGCCCATTCTGACCCCTTTTCTGGCCACATCCAGGTCACCAAGATGCACACGTGTGCAGTTGGGTAAAAACTGAACACGCGCTAGTTGGTCCTTGCCTGTATATCCATTTTTATAGTAGAGCTTACCCTCACGCACCAGTAAGAAACATCTGCTGGGGTTAGAACTCTGTAAAACCAAGCTATTTTCCCATTTATAATCAATAAATTAATTGATTAAAATTATTTTCCCTTTACTGTTCTCATTGGCTTCCTTGCTGTGATTCTAAAAGGTTTTTTCTGGCCCTTCCAAGCTTTCTAACACTGCCCATTAAAAAACAACACACATGTCCACTTTCACACCTCAACCATGCCTACGTTGAAATGTGATCCCCAGGAGCTTGAGCAGGGGTAAATGTGCTCTCAGCCCCAAAAAAGCTTGTCACCCCTGAGTTACAAGGTTATTTATCATGAATTAAAAATGAAGAAATGTTGAGTTTTGTATTTATTTACAGTATAAAGCTAACTAAAAATGGCAAGGTCACTTTTTCCCAAGACGTTTCTTAATCCAGTGCCCCACCAATATCTGTGGCCTCTTCTGGTATTCACCCAGCACATCGTGGGGGGTGGAGATTTGGTCGCCCTCCAGTCGGTTCAGGAGTGTTACACAGACCACAGCACCTGCGTTTATAAAACAAAACCCAAGACCAAGACACAGAGGTTACTTGAAAATAACACTATGAACCATGTGGGGGAAAGGACACTTTACCCAGGATAAGATGAACTGAAACTGATGAATTAACCCAGCAAACAAAGAAACAGTCAAACATAGGGGAAAGTGACAGATAAAGCCAATTCACAATGGAAACAAAACCTTCAGCAGGAATTGGGCATTTGTTAACTAGCCCATAGGCTGTTTTACCTCCACCTTCAAAAAACAGAAGAGCAAGGAAGTTCCTCTGTGCACACAGGGTGATAATTTTGTTCCTCAGGGAACTGTGGTCAGCAGGACATAACTCATCAGATCTTTGCTGTGGTGTATTTGCTGCTACCTCACTTTTCCCCACAGAACCAGCTCTTGTGATTTGTTCTTATATTTAAAATAAAATAGGATACTTTAAAGCTTTCTTTCTGTGGTTCTGAAGTTTGGATCTAGTTAAAGGTTCTTCACCTTCAAACCTAAAAGCATTCTTAATCATGTCATGGCTAATTAATGGAAATTCTGCACTGCAGACGTATGTTGAACTTTGACTGAGATCATATTAAGGGTAACGGGAGATTATCAAGCATCCCACATGAGCTGCTTAGGACCAGAAAAGGGCCAAATCATAAATCAAGCAAGAGAAAGAAGCAGTATAAACTGGAAGTGGCATCAAATCAGTTGGAAACATCAAACATGAACTGTGATGCATGTTTTGGTCAAAATAAGAGAATTTCTAATGGACACAGCAGTAGTTCTGAAATATACTGTTATTCTGGATTCGGAATGTAGGGCAAGAGGCTTAGAGATTTGAAAGAAAAACTGAGCCCAAGATTTTCAGACTTAACTTTTCAAACTATTGTCTGTCTCCAGCCTTAGATAAGCTATTATGAATTGCACCTGGAATTACTGATTAAAAATTATACTAAAGCATTAAGATACTCAGCATGTATGATCAGTATTAAAACTCCTCTGTGGCTGTGAATTACATGATAAACTATTGACTGTTGAAACTAGTGAATTATGTAAGGCTGGACACAAGTGCTGCTTACCTTTGATACCTATAATATTGCACATGGCTGCAAAAACAGAAGATTCCATCTCAATATTTCTGACTCCGGCCTCGTAAGCTGCCGTTAAATATTGTGCCTTCTCTTGCTCAGTGTATGAGCAGATTGCACCATCAAGACGAGCTTGGCCTACAAATGTATGAAATGCAGATTTTAATACATGCAATGAAATCTCTACAATAATACCCCATGCCGTTGAATTGCCTGATCAGCTATACCCGGCTCACCGCTTGAACTTTGGCCAATGGATGGAACCAGAGCTACTGAATGGCTGGGGAAGATTTCGGCTCACTCTGCATTTGGGACCAAACCATCCCATTTCCCTCCACCCTACTTGGGCCAATGTGCAGATCAGAACATAGTTCTGAGAATTAAGCCACACCATCAGTTATATGTGTTATTTTTCATGGGGAAGCATTCAACTATGAGAATAATCCCCTCACATGTAGTCTAAAATGTAAGGTGAAGCTGTTCCTTTAACCTATCAAGATTCTGCTTGTGTGAACTAGGTCAGACTTGTGGGGGACTATTGGTTTAATTATCCAAATATTCTGATTTTATTGTTTCAATATTATTCCGTTTTGTTTTTAAATGCACACGTTTAGCGAAGGTTTTAAATGTTTTGCTTCTCTTCCGTTTCCTTTGCGTTGTTGCGCATGAGTATGGTTGCACCCTTTCAGCCTTACCTTCATAGAAATCCAGAGTGCACATGGTGTTCCCAAAGACTGTTTTGAATTGATCCAGTTCCTTGGCACACTCCATCAAGTCCTGAGCCAGTCCCTCGTCCAGGTTTGTGCTACGATATACAGGCTTTCCCAGAACAAACTGTTCAAACTGAGGTTTGAAGGTGGCATCTACAGATTGCTTGGTGATCACCACAGATCCTGGTGCCAAACCTACATTTCAAATATATGTTTCATAATTATATCTAGAGCTCACAAACCAATAACTGTGATTTCATTTCATTTCTTGCTTTAAAGTAGTAAGGGCATGAGGAATACCTATTCCCCCAGATGTGCCGATACGAATAATGGTTACATTGGAACACCTGGAATGACACAGCAGCTTGAAGAGTTCATGCAGCATGATCGCAATGGAAGGAATCCCCATTCCATGCTGAAATGGAAAAAGTGGGGGTGGGGAAAATCCATAGTGAATAAATCATTCTGTTCTAGGTTATTGTGGGGATGTGGGAAAGGAAGAAAATAACTATTTTGATGGTTACAACCTTCTATTATATTGAAGCATTGAAGCAGGAAGCGAGCAAAGCATTTATCCTGAAAGAAAATATTGCACTAAAGCCATTTTTTATTCGGAGATTTTCAAAATACAGTCTGCAGATAACCATAGTAGCAAATATTAATGATAAAGAGACTTGCGGTTGCAAGAGTGTACAATGTGAAGTCAAGTATATTAACTAAAAGAGTCTCTCCTAAAAGTGGAGGAGCTATAGTGTGGCTACATTTATTCACACCAGCAAGAAAGCAACATCATGCATCATCAAAGGCAATTTTATTTAAACCCTTCAGAGCTTTTAATCTACCTGTTAATTTCTCAGCCAGGACCATTTGCCAAAGGTTAGTGCACCATCTAGAAATAGGCCATTTCCCCAGTGTTTAGCAATCAGTTGGTAAGCCGTCACTAACATGAAAGCTATCAAAAACCTTGTAAGGTATATCAGCATATTGATTATCAAACAGAAATAGCAACACAACTATGGAAGCTTTCAGCTTTGCCAATTTCCTCAAATACCTTTCGCAAAAATTGATTGACTGTAGAGCAATCCCACCACAAGTGGTAGAAAGTTCCTTTTGTGTTATAGCCTCTCCAGCATTCTTTGTATATCACTCAATCCGTATATAATCCGTATATCACTCAATTTAATGGGTGTAACATGCCACCTGTAAATTAATTTGGGAATATTTTCATGGATTCCTGGGTAATTCCATGAAAATGTCAATACGCTCATTTTTCATTTTATTATATTATTAGCATGTTCTATATAATTTTAAAGTTATTTCCCCAAATTTTATCATTTGGCAACAGGTTTTCACAATAGCATTTTACATGTGAATAAAAACAATCAGAAGTATGACATGCAAGGTGACTCAGGATTTCTCTATTTCGCCCCCTGAAGCTCAGTTAAGCACCTCTGCAAGAAAATAAAGAACAGGTTAATGACCCTTTAGTGTACTGATAGCCTTGCCTTATCATTTGGTGAACTGACAAGACATTTTATGTTAGGAGGAAAATCAGATGAGCTTAGGAAAATAAAATGTACATTGGTTTAGTGTGTAATGTTGACCACAAAACATGTGCTTTTTTCCATCTCAACAAATGTAAAGAAAAATCTATATTCTTTAACTTTATTCTTTTCTTTTTTCCATTTTTACCATTAAGAAAATGTGATGAGATAGTAACTAATATGTGTTTTACATGCAAAATTTCTTGTGATCATTGTTCCTCTTCCTCTTTAAGACTGATTGTGCTTAAAAGGGAAGGGAAGAGATTTTTCTCTGTTATTCAGCGCTGAGTTTGGGCGCAACAGCATTCTGCAGGGAGCTGATTGGCACATCTGAATGCTTTCCTGAGCCCAGCGCTAAGGATCACCCATCTCCTGACAGGGGAGGAGTGTTCCTGCTTAGTGCTGAGTTTGGGCATGCCAGAAAGCTCCCTTGGATGGTTTTAGTTTCTGCCTGGAAGCCAAAGGAAGGAACCTCTCCACTGTGAGAGGCTGCCCTGTCCTGGAGCCTCCGCAATGGTTCTCAACCTGTGGGTCCCCATATGTTGTTGGACTACAACTCCCATCATCCCTGAGCTCTGGCCTTGCTAGCTAGGGGTGATGGGAGTTGTAGTTCAACAACATCTGGGGACCCACAGGTTGAGAAAGGCTGCTCCAGAGGAACACAAAGCACAAGCCCAAAGCCCCCATTAGCCCACAGTTCTGTGTCCTTTGTCAATTGTACATATGCAGTTTGTATATATACAAATCTAATCTAATAATGCATTAATGATCATTTAGAGATATTTTTAAAAGAGAAAATTCAGTTTTAATTGATAGACAATGTATTGCATGCCCACAAATATCTGGCCCACTTACACTGATGGATAGCACAGGCCCTGCTTTGTACATTGCGTAACGATCGGTTCCTGCACAGATATTGGGGTAGTCCTGGCCTGGGCTGCCAACTCCCAGCTCTTCAGCTATGTAGGTAATAAAAGCTTTCATTCGCGAAGGGCTTCCTCCAACACACACAAACTAGGCAAGATCAAAGAGAGGAAACTGTAAGAATATTAACTATGGAAATATTTAACAATGCATTTTTAAAAACATTTAAAAAATAGAAATATGAAAAGCCTGTTCATGCTACAAAGACACCTTTTAACAATTCACACTAGACAACGCAGGAATATGCAGCTGCCACACATGGGGATCAACCCTGCGACCTTGTTGTCACCAGCACCATTTACATCTCCAAACCTTTACATCTCCAAACAAGGCAGGGAAGTCATGGGTGCCAGTCCCCAGAGCAAAATGGTACAGGATGTCATCACTCATCTTCTCAAGATGTTGATTTGGGACACGAATGGGGGTTTCCCTGTCAAAAGAAGGGAGAAACTTAGTATGAATTTATAGCAGCAGAACAAGCATCTTTAAACAAGCCAACAAGTATAATGTCTGGACAATTAGGATTCTTCTGGATCACAGCCTTGAATGTTTAGAATTGTCTCACATATCGTATTACCAAGAGTGGAGTTGGGCCCACCTAACTCAGCTGAGCCTGCCCAGGGACTCAGTGAAGGAACCAGCCAGATTGGAGAAGGGAAGGAGATGGGCTGGAGTTCGTTCTGTCGCCATCCAGAATAAAGCTGATATGCATTTTTCACCATTGGAGTGATGGCCTTTTTTCTGGCTTGCAGATGTCACTTCCCCGCAAATGTAACAAAAGTTATCTGCACTATTAACACATTTACGAGGCCTCACTACAGGTGGATTTACACTGCAGGGATCACTTGTGACGCAGGGTAAATGGGAGAGTAGCCTAATGATTGCTTAGTTATTTATTTACCACTATTATTATTATTATTATTATTGACATGGTTCTCCTCCTCCCCATTTCCTCCTCACAACAACCCTGTGAGGTAGGTTTGGCTAAAAGATGGTGACTGACTCCAAGGTCACCGAGGGAGCTTCATGGCTGAGTAGGGATTCGAACCCAGCTTTCTCAGGTCCTAGTCCAACACTCTAACCATTACGCCACACTGCAATCATAAAGCCACAATGTCATGACTCAACTGCACTACTCAGCTGCATGCCATTGGTCCTGGTGTACCTGATGAGCTGGTGCAAGATGGCACCGTATGTCGCAACCAGAAGCTTGAAATGCAGTGTTACCAAATGAAATTCTGTACTCAGTGTGGCGTGAGTTGCTTATGCATGACCATCTTTGTATCTTCTAAACAGGAACCAATCAAGAGATCCCACCCACCCCGCTTGTTTTTGTGTTCAGCATCTCAAAATTAGTAAAGATTGCTTATTTTCCTTTCAGAGGCATCTTGTGTGTTGTGGGGTGGTTTAGTTGGGATCTCCTTTCTTGTAGCTACCCTTCAGAATGCAGAGTGATGAGGGAGCAGGATTATACCCGTCACGCCCGCTGACCATGCTCTCTATGCACACACAACGTGATGTATGGGAGATCTGTGTGTACATAGTTAATATGCATGTAGGTGCTTTCAGACATTACACAGATTGCACTAAGGTGTAAGACTCGCAGGCACAATCCCACAGCTTCTTCCACATCCATTCAAACAAAGGCCTGAACACTTTCTAGCCCTCATGTGCAAAATTCCCTAATTCATTGATCTGCTGTTTGCAGAATTACATTTCTATGGGCACAACTGCATGATTGTTATTTAGAAGGCAATTAAGACAAGATTTCTTAAAAACAAAGGTTTCGCAGCAATAAATCATGTTCTTAAAGGTTACTTGAAAGTCAAGTAAGTGTAAGTATAAGAGCAGGTGGAGCAATTGAAGAAAGGGCACAATAGCAAGCAGATGTCCCTGTCCCACGTCCTGTCTTATCCACCCCCACTTGAGTGATAGCAATATAATGGAAGTTTGAAAGCAATGTCCCCCTACTCCCCCCTCCCACAATTTGTGAGGCAATTTATACCTAAACCTATTAAACAGCACTTGATTCACTTCTTACGTGGAAGATGTGTTCACGGTCTTCTCCACAGCATCCCCAGAAGCCATGATATTCAGTCAGACTCTGAGGAAGGAAATTTAAGAAATGGGACATATACATCACATGGTCAGCACTGTGAAAAATTGTATAAGGAACAAGATGGTTTGCCAGCTACAGAAATGGACAGAAATACATTATTATTATTACTGGTTACTATCAGTATTATCATTGCTCTCATTATTTTACTTTCTTACCCATCCTTCACTGTATTGTCCCAGGGCAAGTTACAATTTAAAATGCAGTTTAAAAACTTACAATTAAAAATGCAACTACCAAAAATAAGATGGGGCCTGCAGATATACATCTCAGGTGTCAATGGGTAAGCATTCAGCATTTACAGAAACCTGTATAATGAGGTCGCCAGATGTACCTTTGTAGGGAGGGAGCTCCACATCTTGGGGGCTGCCACAGAGAAGGCCCTCTCCCAAGCCCCCGCTGAGAGTCTGGAGAGTGCTGGAACTACCAAGAGGGCTCCCCCTGCCGGTCTGAGCACCCAAGAGGGTTTGTAGGAGGGAAGGAAGCGGTCTTTCAGATATGTTGGGGCTGTATGGTTTAGGGCAGGGGTCTGCAACCTTTAAGACAAAAAGAGCCACTTGGACCCATTTCCGAAGAAAAAAAAACTGGGAGCCGCAAAACCATTGCGACATTTAAAACAAATATATCTCCGGAGCCGCGATCTGACAGCGGGCGGGAAGGTGATGTCGGGACGGTGCATGACTAACGCACGCACCACCCCCATGCGACGTCACAGCCAGTACAGCGCCTGCCACAGTGGGGAGTGTCGGGGCACACAATGCGCCTCCTCCCCTCGCTAGTATCCACCCTGGAGCCGCGGCAAAGGTGTAAAAGAGCCACATGCGGCTCCGGAGCCGCGGGTTGCAGACCCCTGGTTTAGGGAGTTAAACACTAATCTGAGCACCTTGAATTGGGTTTTGAAACAAAATAGCAACCAAAACAGGAGTTACAGGGGGTCTGCGTGGAACCCCAGCCAGTAATCTGGCTGCTGCATTTTGGAGCAATGGAAGTTTCCGAATTGTGTCCAATGGGAGTTGCTCCAAGTCAGGCAAGGATTTGGAATTGCCCGCATGAAAGGTGTCCGCTTCCCTTCCCTTCCCTTCCTCTCCTTTTCCTTTCCTGCTCCAGTCCGTGAGAAGCCTGTTTCAATAGAGGTGCTTTCAGCAATAGTAGCTCTGTCCACAAGTTATTTTAATTAAAATACAGTGAGCATGCTTTTTCAGCAACCATCAGTGGGGCTGCATCTTTTCCCTATGGGCTGATGAAAGCAACGTGGAATTAGAGGAGTGGGGCAACAGCCGCATCCAGCAAAACACCAAACACGCGACCAGCCCGGTTCCCATGAGGCCCCAGGTGCCTTCCTTTCCATTGTATTTCCTCCCAGACTGGACGCGGGCGCGGAGGGAGCCGTGGCGAAGCGCCGGCTGCCGGGCGGATACCGTAGCAAAGCAGGAAGGCGAGCCGGGCGCCGTCCTCCGCCCGCCGCTCGGGCTCTTCGGGAGCCGGGGAAGAAACATGGCGGGGGGGGGGCGGCAGGTGCGCGCGCCCGGCGCTGACAAGCCCCAGCTCCGCCGGCAAGGAAGCGCCTCCTCGCCCTCCGCCCGGGGCCGCGCACCAGAGCAAGCGCGCTCTCGCCTCCGTCGCCGGGCCCGGAGGCCTCTGGCCGGGAAAGGAGACCCGAGAGGCGGGCGGGCGGGGCGCGGGGAAGCCTACCCGAGAAGGACCAAGGCGAGCAGCCGAGATGCCGCCCCTTCCTTCCTTCCTGCCTTCCTTCCTTCCTGGCGGCGCCCGGGCTCCTCGCGCCCCGTCGCTCCCCCTCGCAGAGACCCGGCCAGCCGCGCGGCCAAGCGCTCGGGAAAGGGATCCTCCCGCCGCCGCGGCTACTTCGCAGGAGCGCTTCCCGGGGGGGGGCGACACAGGCTGAGCTTTCCGAAGAGCCCGAGGAAGTTCTCTTGGGAAGCCCGAGGGTCCGCACTTCCGAAGAAACTGGTCCGCGCCTCCCTATTCAGAACCCTGTGCGAGGGCAGGATCCGGCCTGCGGGAAGAGCGCCTCTCTCCGAGACCTGCTCTGAACTTGCAAGCCAAAAGAGGCAGGGAAAGGCGCTCTCAAGGCGAGCAGAAATAGCTCCTTGTTCAGGGCGTGGACTTGCCTGAAGTTTACTTCACAATCTAGCTAGTAGTTTGACACAATATGCCGGAAGCACTGAAGGACGCAACGGGGGAAATTCTGAAATAACATCACACAAAGTGAGGCCAGAGATCACCGCCGCAATCCCTTTAACTAGCAAACATCCTCTAAAGAAACCAAAATTTCTTCAACAGAAAAAACCATTTAACAGTTATATTACTATCAGCTGTGATCACAAATATTAAGTAACGATCTAGAGAGTAGGCAAAATGTAAGATGATCAGCGGAATAAACTTCCTAGACAATTGTGAAACTACATTCCTATAATTTACTTGTGAAAAAGCTACCTGGATTATTTTGGGCAGACAATGTCCCGCCCCAGCATAAGTGGCTGAACATTTTCCAGTTCCGTGGCAAGCAGTAAGAAACATAGCAGGCATTCAGACAACCCCCAGGCACTGAAAGAACACATGGTGGGGCAGGTGCGGGTCAGCCAGTGTACCCAGCCTTGCTGGAAAGGGTCGAGTGTCCTTGTCGCCTTGCGGAGGTCACCTCTCCTCACATCACATTCATCAGTGTGCTTGTGCGAAAGCCCCTTCCAACGCGCTCTCTCGAAGCACAACCACCTCGTCCCCTGGCGGGGAAATGAAGGTCGAGTAGGCATGCAGGACACTTCTACAGGCTGCCTCTGAGTGAGCGTCCAAAAAGAGGCAATCGGATTTTAATTTGGTCGGAGAAAGAGATAGAGGCTGGCATTACCAGCTTAAAACAGGGAGATCAGGTTTCTTCCCCCGCCCCCCGCCGTGCTTCAGCTTGAGCTTGAACATTGTTGGGTTCCTCACTGCTTTTTCACGTTTCCACGCTGTCTGCCCACACCTGTGGGTGGCGAGGAAGTGGGGATCATGTCTTAACCTGAGGTGAATTGACTGACTGGTTTCCCTGCCCCAAACTCATCCCAAACGCCATACGGCTGTCATCTTCCTTCCAAGTAAATGTGAATGCATAAGATCACGGCCCATGGTGCAGAAGTAAGTTTCAATGAGTTAACAGGCTTTCTTCTCAAGTAATGGAGGCAAGCAATCCTATTCCCATTTATCTGGGAGAAAGTCCAACTGAATTTAATAGGCTTTGTGTTTGAGTAGGACATGGTTAGGATCACACTGAAAAACTCACCGTTGCATATGCTGCAAAGCAGCCCTAGAATGCTCTTGAACTGGGATGTCTGTTTTTAATGGGAAAGCGTTTTACAGAGGGGCACAGAGACACATTGACTCCCTCCCTTTGTGGGTGCAAGCAAGTATCTTGGATTGTCTTTTTACTGGCAGAGAGAGCTGTGTAGAGACAGAAACATCATCATCATTATTACCATCTCTCCCCTCCCCCCAATTTTGCCATAGGCAATGCGGGGGACATGAAAGACCACCCACCTGCAGGAAATTCGGGCTTCAGCTGCCAGTTGAACATAGCTAGTTCTCAAATCAGACCGAAGCTGGTTTAGAATAAAGCACTGTTTGAGAAGAAGCTAAATGAACATCTGCAAACAGGTACCTGCTCAGCCAGCTCCTCTGACTGCAGAGGTCCTAACATTTGTTTGCTGCTGCCCCCATCACCTGCCACTCTCCACATGGCCCTGAGGCGGAGTCCCAGCTGTGTCAAGCTTTGCTTTTTCAGTCTTTACATGTCTGGTGAGCAGATACTATAAAGACATTTTCTTATCTTAGAAATGTTCATATGCTAGTGGCTGATGATACACCATCCTGCAGCACAACTCAGTTCTTAAATGGCAAGCTATGTAAAAATGGTCTGGGAGATGAAGGTTTTGGAGAAAGGAACAAGTGCCTCCAGTTTAATATTTCATTATAAATTTTAAATTAAATTGTATAATCAGCTATGGTGCATAGCCATCGTATGATAAAGCAATAGCAACAAACCAGTTACTAAGTAAGAAAAAAAAACTGAGTTATTCCATGTTGCATTCCATTTTCCATTTCAATCGTGGGTTTAGTCCAGTTTTGACCTTGAAACTGCCTTGGCTGCTTCATATAATGACTTTTGTCAGGAGTGTGTCACTCAGTGGCTTGCAGTCTCCTTGAACATGGTATCCTCATATTGTAGCTGCCTGAACTGGGGGTGGATGACAACACACTGTGGTAGTTCCAATCCTGCTTGGAAGGTCATTTTCAGAGGCTGATGCTCTGAAAGTGCTTTTCAGCCCCGTAGAGCCTTCAGTGTGGGGTTCTGCAGTGTTCAATTTTATCCCCCATGATGTTCAATATCTACATGAAACCACTGAATGGGGGCCAACCAGAGATTTGAAACATGCTGCCAGCAATCATCTGGTAACACATAACTCTACTCTTCTTTTACACCTGCAGGTGCAGCAGTGGATATTTTGGATCAATGTCTTGCCTTAGTAATGAATCACATAAGAGCCAATAAACTGAAGCATGGTCCAAACAAGATTGTTAGTGGGCAGGTCCCTAAACCAGATGAGTGGGATGAGCCCTGCTCTGAATGGGGTTACACTCCCTCTGAAGGAGCAGGTGCATAGCTTGGGGGCACTCCCAGGTCCATTGCTGCAATTTGGGCCTCAAGTGGCCTCAGTGGTACAGTGCACCTTCCATCAGCTGCTACTGGCAGCTCTGCTTCACCCTTCTCTGGACAGGGACAGCCTAACATCTGCTAGCTGTGCTTTAGTAACCTCCAGGCTAGATTATTCCAATGCATTATACATAGGGCTGCCTTTGAAGATGAAGAACAGTGGTGGACTTGGGTACTATGGCACCCTGTGCGAGGCCAAAAACTGGTGCCCCTGCCCAGCCTTCCCAAAGGCAGGTAAGGAAGCGCCTGGCTTTGGGAAGGAGGTACCTGGCTGGGAAAGCGCTAACGGCTTGGGGAAGAAGGCCTGAGGGCTCATGCCTCCTTCCCAAATCCCAGTGCCTCGCTTACCTGGCTTTGAGATGGTGCCCCCTCGGCTCAGTGCCCAGCGCATGCACACTCACACTCCTAAATCTGACCCTGTTAAGAAGCTAAAGCTTGTGCAGAATTTGACAGCCAGGTTGCTGACCATTGCAAAATGGACTGGACATATAAAACCAGTTGTGTCACTCACTACTGCACCAGCTATTAGAGAAACATCAAATTGTAGAATTGAAAGAGAACTTGAGTCATCAAATTGCAACTGAAGCATCCGCAAAAGATGACAGTCCAACCTCTGCATAAAAACCTCCAATGAAGGAGAGTCCACCGTCTTCTGAGGGTGTCTGTTTCATTGTCAAACAGTTATTCCCATCAGAAAGTTCTTTCCGATGTTTAGTCAGAATCTTTTCTTGTAACCTGAATCCACTGGGTCGGGTCCTACTCTCCAGAGCAACATAAACAAAGCTTGCTCCATCTTCCATGGGGCAACTTTTTGGATGTTTAAATATGGCTATCATATCTCCTCTCTTCTCTAGGCTCAACATGCCCAACTCCTCAACTGTTCCTCATAGGGCTTGGTTTCCAGACTCCTGGTTGCCTCCTCTGCACACATTCTAGCTTAAAGTGTGTCTCCCAGAACTGGACACAGGACTCAAGTACTCCAGAAGCTATATGATATTCTCATTTGATATGCTCTTTGTTTTAGGTGAAATGTAACTTTTGAGTAGATTTTGCATCATAATTTTGTCCTTTGATGTTGTAACATAAATTGTCTTGGCTAATGTGCCTAGTCGATAAAAAAACCACTTTAATGTTTTAAGAAATAGTTAAAAGGCAATTGTTATCATTCTCTTATGATGTTTATTCAAACAGAATTCCAAGTATATATGCAAGTTTATATGATGTGAGGTATACATCAGAACAAAATGAGAATGGTGTTGAAAACGATCATTTCAATCCAACCTCCTGAATAATAATCTCAATGCCAATATACATACAAGTTCAAAATATATAAAACATCACAACAATCTGGCTTTTTACTTACCCCATTCAACACTTGGAAGCAGAAAAATAAAGACTCAGCTTTGCAAAGGTTATGTTGCTCAAACTGGTCTCAAGTGTTTTGTTCCACTACAGACTCTCTTCAGTAGTGCAACCCCATAGCAAAGCATCCATTAACCAGGTCCCGGGACTGCAGGGATGCTACTGTTCACCAACTCTCAAGCAGCCCACGTAGCTTTAGAACATGAGGATACAAGGCAAACCTTGGTAGAAGTGGGTGAAAAGTAGAAGCAGAAAGCAGGTTCAGATACAGGCGGAGGCATTAATAGCAGAAGCAAGCATCCAGGCTTTAAAAACTTACTGGGGTAGATTATTGGACCAAACTCATGTCAGTTGCAAACTTACTGAAACAAACAGAAAAACCAACAGGAATGAATGTGGTCCATTGTTTAAATATCCTGGTTAAAAGACACATAATCTAACACATCAACATATAATTATTGAAGCCTGCTTCCTAAGCTCTATTATAGTCTTCTGCACTCAGTGCTGTTTTGAAATAGTGAGAATTTTGACAATTCTATGAAGTATCTGCTTTTACTCATTGTCTGTTTGTGTTGATTCTGGCTGGGATGTCTCTGAATCTGAAAAACAAGAGGTGACAGAAAAATGAGCATTTTATTTTCTCACTCAAAGACATTAAATATCAATTTCTTTCTTGTACAAAAAAGATTATCTGAGGTCAATGAAGGATGGCCCTGCTTGTGTAATATTGAAATGAACTAACAGCAATGAAACTGGGTTGCTCCTTGTACATTTGGACTGCCCTTCCTCTTTCTAATTTCCTTTTCAGTGTGAACAGTGTTGCTTTAATAGTACATTCTAGGGGTCTTAGGAGGAGGGGACGACAGAGGACGAGATGGTTGGACAGTGTTCTCGAAGCCACTAACATGAGTTTGACCAAACTGCAGGAGGCAGTGGAAGACAGGAGTGCCTGGCGTGCTCTGGTCCATGGGGTCACGAACAGTCGGACACGACTAAACAACAACAACAAGGGGTCTTAGATGACCATAAGCCTAAAATGTGATGCAGCAACAAAAAAAGCCAATGCTCTTCCAGGCTGCATCAACAGAAGTATAGTGTCCAGATCAAGGGAAATAATAGTCCGGCTCTATTTTGCCTTGGTCAGACCACACCAGGAATACGGTGTCCAGTTCTGGGTGCTACAATTTAAGAAGGATATTGACAAGCTGGAAGGTGTGCAGAGGAGGGCAACCAATATGATCAAGGGTCTAGAAGCCAAACCTGCTGAGGAATAGTTGAGCAAGTTGGATATGTTTAGCCTGGGAAAGAGGAGACTGAGAGAAGATATGACAGCCAGCTTCAAATATCTAAATGACTGTCAAATGAAATATGGGGTGCTCTTGCACGGAAACCTGGAAGGCCCTGAGAGCATCCCAGAGCCTGCATGCTGAGGAGGACTTGTCTGTTAAGCAATCTGGAGAGTTTAAAAGTAATCTGCTTTGCTTGAGGGGAGGGAGGTAGAAGCACAGAATTGTAGAGTTGGAAGGGACCCCAAGGGTCACAAAATAACAACATATGATGCCCATCTGACTGGGTTGCCACTCCAACAAAATCTAAAGAGCACAACAAAACATCAACCATTGGAAAGGCCTGCCCCACACACCAGCTCTGGAAGGTAAGGCTGGTGGGGCAGCCGGCCCATTTTTGCATATATGCACCACCCCAGAACATACCCCGCCCCCTCATAAGATGCAACCATACCGTATATGATTTTTTTGTATGTTTTTCTTGTTGGTGCTTTTAGTGTTAAACCACTTCAAGAGGTTACATAGGAAGCAATTCATAAATGCAACCAAATCAATAAAAGAAATGAAATGCAAGCGCTGTTGGTTGCAGCTTCAGATACTAGAATTGCACTTCTTCCCCTGAAGGGTCAGGTGTGCACTTGGGTGTGTTTCTGGGCTCTCTGCTAACACAGGGAATTAGATGTGGTATCCAGAAGAGCCTTTAACCAGCTTAGGTTGATAAGCCTGTTGTTACCCTTTCTGGATAACCTCCTATAGTTATTCAAGCGCTGTTTTAGGTGTGGCTACCCATCTATTTGTGGGGGCCAAGCAATCAGTTATGTGACATCAATATTGTGCCAGCTACAGTGGCTGCTAGTTTGTTCCCAGTCCAAATCAAAGTGCTGGTGATTGCCAAGGAAGCTCTAAAATAGTGGTGGCAAACCTGCAGCCTGTATCTGTATGTAATAATGCATGATTAAAAATGCTTTAAAATAGTGCAGAGTTGGCGGGAAAGTCTTTTGGAAGGCAGTACTGAGAAATCCAGTGCTCACCACACCAACTTTTGCCCCTGGAAGGATGATCATAGGCCAATGTGGTCCTTGGCCTGAAAAGGGTTAACCGCCCCTGCTTTAAATGGCATGGGACCAGGTTACCTTAGGGACCACCTGCAGCAATATGGAGACCCTGTTGAGATGCCTACAGTAAAATGTATTAGTTTGGCGGTCATAAGAAACAGGGTCTTCTCTGCCCTGGCCCCTTACCTATGGAATTCAATCCTTGGGGAGATGCCCTCCCCAATTTCACTTAAACTAGCTTCAAAGTCACATCTGTTTAGAAAGGCATTTGGAGTTTAAATTGGAATGCTAGATAATTGGGGCTCTTTGAGCAGGGCTTGTTTTAGTGAGTTTTATGGTTAGATGGAAATAGGGTTTTATTGCTCTGTTTATTGTTCTATTAACAGTTTTGATGAATTGCGTGTGAGGTCTGTTCTAAATGGTAGTACTGAAGTTCTTTAAAATAACAAAAACACACTTTTTTATATCCTCAGTATTCTATTACATTGATGACTTCCACATTACCCCCCCCCCAAATCTATGGAAATACTGTCCTAGAATAGTAAATTCCATGTTTAACCAGCACACATGAACCAATGGAGATGGTGCTGATGTGGGGTCCATTAGCCTGCCAAGCACACGGCATCCCATGTGTGCAGGTAGATTATGAATACCTTTAAACTAAATTCCTAGGCCGGGTGTATGATTCTAGTCATGGCATGTAATGCTGTGCACCTTTACTCGGAAAAAAAACCCTGCTGTCAGTGGATCCTACTTCTAGGTAAGTGTACAGGACTAGAGCGTCACAGTGCAATCCCATGCATGCCTGCTCAGAAATATAAAGAAACATTGGCTGAATGGGATTGCAGCATAATTTTTAAAATGATGGGTTTTATGTAATAATTGAGGCATATAACAGAGTTGTTATTCTGACACACAAGAGTTCATTGTCCTAATTTGGATTATTGTCCTTTTCTAAAAGTATTCTGCTTTGCTTTAGTAGACCTCAGCTGCATGAACAAGTTTAATAAACTCCACAGAACAACTCTCCCCTTGTCTCAGCCATCCTGGCTAATCAGTTTTCTTGCCTTTTCTTACCTTCTCCAACATAGCACATACATGGTCCCTTTGGAAATCACTGTGGATATCTTAACTATGCTTGATCCATTCTCTACAGACACTACAACACAAATATAACCTTCCTACCTGTGAGCTTCTGAAATGTGGAATTAAGTTCTAAGAAACAGTTTGGATGTGATAAATTCTATATACATGGAAACACTTGAACTACATATACCTTCCAGCCCTACTATTGTGTATGTGCATTACATCATGAACTCTAGATTCTTCTTGAGTTTGCAGCCTTCTGCATAATGGCCTCATCCAGTGAGGCACAAGTGGAAAATAGGCAAGTGCTGTAGGACTTTAATTTTGTTTCTCCAAACAGCAGCATCCCACAATGCATTGCAAGCAGCTACTCAGGGGGTTGGACTAGAATCAGGCATGGCCAAACCTGGCCCTCCAGCTGTTTGGGGACTACAATTCCCATCATCCCTGACCACAGGTCCTGGTAGCTAGGGATGATGGGAGTTGTAGTCCCAAAACAGCTGGAGGGCCAAGTTTGCCATGCCTGGACTAGATGATCCCCTAGGTCGCTTCCAGCTCTACAATTCTATGCTTCTAGTGTTTTTAAAATCAGCCAGTGATGCAGTGCAGAAAAAAATGAGGTAAGCATCACTGCATATATGCTGATCTCCCTCTCACGATTGGGGACCTTGTGTAGAATGTATCATTGAATTTTATTATGAATTTCCAAAGCAAAACTTTCAACCAATTTAAAATAAATGCAGTGTTACTGCCCTCTATTTGGATATGCCCAAGAATAAAAATTGAGAAGAAAATATTTTCTTCTAGGTCTGCTAATACCCAATTGCAAAGACTTGAGGGAAGTGAACTTAAGGGAAGTGTGAGGTGTTGAGGAGAGACAGGAGAGGCTGCTGCAAAATTTATGAGAGCGCCCACCCCTGGGACACCAAAGGAGATCTCTGCCAGCGGATAACAGCGAATGGGTGGGAAAGAGAAACAAACCACTGCTCTATACAAAGCAAAAGGTTTTTCCCCAATTAATTACTTAAGCTAGAAGTAAAAATTCATATTAAAAACATTTGTAATAAGCTTTACGTTTAAAAAGGTTACTTTCCTTCACTGTTAAATTCTACTGACAATTAAAGAAAAAGACTGTATATGTTTGGAAATGAATAATTCTTAGATCTGTTAAGGCAGAAATGGGCTGGTAGGATAGTGTTTTGGGTGGCATACATTCTGAGGTTGAAGAATGGCTTCTTAGGCTGGGCCCCCATTTCAAGTCCAGATTGAGATCTAGGTTTTCTTTTGTATGACAATGTGTGTTTCCTAGCTTTCTGCCTCTTTTCTATTTTCTTCTGGTACTCACTTGGAGGAAGAAGAGAATCTGTAAGAAACAATAGAAAAGGAATTCTTTCTTTAATATGCATTCATGTCATAAAATAAGCCTCGGTTGCTTTAATAGTCTTACAAGGTATTTGTTAGGGGACAAATGAGCTAAAAAGGTGTCCAAAAGCTTTTGAATACAATAGGATATTTGCACAGTCTTCATTCCATAAATGCTATTATCTTATTAGAAGGCAAGTCTTTTCAAAAGGAGCATTTTAAAATAAATATTATATTTGGGTGCCATTTATCCCATGCTACCTTGCATCTTTAAGTGGAATTATGATTTGGCATAAGCAATGATGTCAGACTAAAGTCCAGTACATGCTTCCCTGGAAGCAATTTCCATTGGAGTTTACAGACGTTACATATAAAATTGTGTAAAGGTTTAGTGTATAACATACAGCACTCAAGCAGTTTATTTTCTATATGCTCTACAAATACTGCAGAATGAATGCAGATTAAGTTAGCTCTACTCTATCTGAACAGAAACAAAATCCCAAAAACTTGTCCCGAATAAACAATATACCGGGTTTGTAAGCAATACAATGAATAAGCTATGAGTTGAAACCCAATTTCCATATATCTACTGGAATGTTTTATGGGATTAATACACATATTTGCATAGGTCTACGTTACAAAGAAAGACATAGGTCAGTAAATACTGCTTATTTTTTTAAAGTCTAAAATTTTACCATTAGGCTGCGAGTTCTTTTTCTCCCAGTCATCACGCTGTTGAAGCCACTCATCTCCATAACCACTGCTGATCAGTTTGCTGAAGTTTACAGGTTCGTTTTTTTTGTGAGCAGGCCTATACGAGAACACCAAACAAGAAGCAAGCCTTTTATCAAAACTGGTACCCATCTTTTCTTTTTCTTTACTATGATAACGATTTTTTAAAATAGGAAAATAAAAGTCTTTGACATTTTTAGAAGAGTGCTGTGAGTCCAAATGGTACCTGGTGCCATGGTTTTTCAACAGTTACTTACAGTAATTTACTGTTAGTGTTGACAACAAATAAATGTACTGGGGAACCTGATGGTCATCAGAGCATCCCAATGCAAACATGCAGAGAAGCAGAGAGCCTAAGAATTACATTAGGTGGATCCAAAGGTTTGAGCAAGTCTGGTGAGGTTTTTTAAACACCAGGTCTCTGTGCTATATTAAAAAGTGTTTTTGAAGCTTCCTTTGGTATTAAAAGCATTCTGGCTTTGTGGCAAAAAGGCCTCTAGTAGAAGTATGCCAGCTGTATAACCAGCTTTGAATGCCAGCTGGTAAAACAGATCCACGTGCAAGTCTTCACATAGGGACAACATACATTGATGCACACCTTCTCAACATCCAGCAGTGAAGAAAAAGTTGTTTCAAGTAACCCCAGTCAAAACAGGAACTACTGGTAAATATGAATAACTAAGACAAGTAACTTATGTGATCGAAAGATGTCAAGCCTACAGCAATCCCAAATGATATCAGGAGCATAGCATTGGGGGGGGGCATGCATTGCTGAGAGGGCGCAAGATGGCACAACCAGGCACCCCCACGACAGGCTCCCTCCCTCACCAAGCTGTGCCCTGGCTGGGCCTTCAGGGCTGCAGCAGCACCTCCTTCTCCTCATGGCTGGCTGAGAGGAAGGAGGATGGCAGCAGCCGCACCACCCACCAAGGAGAGGTGGGAGCCTCTGGCAAAGGCTGCTGGTCTGCCCTCACTGTGAGCTGGCTTTGAGCCTTTCTCCATCCATCCCCTTGCCTCACTCGCTGCCGGCTCAGACCACTGTGGCTTGGTGAGCGGTGAGGGCTTGGGCTCGCGCAGCCACACTCTGCCCCCGCCCCAGCACACACACGCATCCTGGGTGCAGAGAACCTGTGCTACGCCCTTGAATATGTTCCCAAAATAAAGCAAGGTGTACTCTGGTCTCCATTTTCACCTGTTCCAGATTACCAGTCATGTAACATGACATCCAACGAGGCTTCTCATCTGGTACACTGACAAATAACTGATACAGTGTACATATGATAATCTAGGGTAGTTTTTAATAAACTACACTTTTTTAAAAAGTGTGCATACTGCCTCCCCAATGCCTACCAACTATATCTTATTGTGATTATATGCTTATTGTTAAGATCAGCATATAGCCATCACTACGATGCAATACACTAATTCATACAGCAAACTGAACTGGAGCAAAGGGTAACAATTTTATGCACAGCTTTACACTGGCAAGTTGAGTACTTGCACATCCATCTGTAAGGTCTGGATTTAAAACACAGCAATTATATTTAGCTAACATTGGAGGGAAGTAGAGTCGGTTTCCTCCATGAAATTCTTTAGCTGCAATAGGTTGTGGTGTTCTGTGTGGGTATCTTGGCGTTATAGCAGGAAGCTTTATCTGTGTAAAAAAGATAATGCTAATTCAGTAATGGACATACATATACCTATGATTAAAACAGGTTGAAATAACAGCTAAAAAGAAAGAATATTCCCTGCAATATATTCTGTAGCAATCTGTACATGGCTCCTGTATTAGGCTCCTGTTTTTGTGATGTTGTCACTCAAAGTAATCTGATCTGTCTAGGCTGAGAAATAAAAAAGTTTGATATGTGATGGCTAGAACTTTTGAGTTGGGCTGATCAAGACTGGATCCGTTCCCCATATGCTATAAACCCAATTCAAATCAGTTGTAACAGAAGATGTAGATTGACCCTTAGCATTACTTCCAAAGTGTGGTTAAGGTTGCTTGGTTTCTGTTAGGGCTTAATGCAAGGTTAAGTGCACCTTTAACGTGCAGGTTTTAAATATGTACACGGAAGTGAGAAGGTGCTGGAAGGAGCATGTGTGCAAGTTCACATTTGCAATGTTGTGTCTGCACTACCTGTGTTTATTCAAGTTCTGATTACCAGTGGTATGTGCCATTTGAATGCTAAAATTGTAAGCTTTATCTTAAAATATAAGGGCCAAACTGCCCGTGCTGTTATATGCCTCTTTAAATTTTGTGTGCAGATTTGGAAGGAAATCCCCCACTGGTGACAATTTAGGATTTCCTCCTCACCCTACAAAGCAAATACCAGAGGAAGGGTTTTCCTCGGGAGGAAGGCAGAGAGTTAAAATTGCTTTATAAACCTGCTGTGATTCCAGTTACGATTACCACCCTGCATGTTAAATACAAGAACACATTTAAAATCTTGTCAAGTTTAGTCTCAGGTTTTGAGAAAAAGCTCACATTTTCGAGCAGGTGCATACTTCAGAATGACAAAACTTGAGTACACACAGAGTGATGCATACAGAAACTTCAGAATTTATTAACCACGGTAAGAGATCGTGAGTGGAATATGAGCTTACACGTGCCCATCCCAGCCCCTCCACCACAGAGTGAACTCCTTAGTCAGGCTGATTGGAATACTAAAAGAGCACTGATTGGAACAGTACTAAAAAGCTTTTCATGCTAACCAGTTTTATTCTTTACCAGAATCTGAAACTTTGAAGCTGGCTAGAAAACTACTAAAAATACAAATGCATCCAGGAATCAACACTGACTTTTAAAAGGAGGGGAGACCACAACAGTAACTTGGAGAAAGATTTTGCAATGATGTGCTGATGGAATCGCCAAATACCTGTTTCTTGGCTTAGTCTTTAAAATGGTCAATTTGAGATTTTCCCTCTGTCTTTTGTCAAATCCAATTCTAGTTTCAGAAAAACTCACCTCTTCTTTTGTGCTGCCTGGAGAGCCCTCAACTTGTACTCCATTTTCCTGTTGGGATTTAAAAAACAAAAACACAATTTAAGTAATAGATCTTAAAGATAACAGAAAAGAGATTAGGAAAGAGTGTTTAATGTTTTACAAAAATGATCAGCTTGGTCACATAAAGTGTATACTACCTGACTTGCCTCCGTACAAACTTCATTTCAGAAAGAATAGAACCTTTCTGCTTGGGGGGGGGGCAGGTAAAATTTAAATCATGAAAATGATGTACACAATATTATGTCTCCTCTCTGAGCCACAGCTCCAGCAAGATTCTGATACTGCTTTTAATTTTTTTTAAAAGGTAACCCGCAACAGATCCCTTTGTTCCTGATTATCCCATTTTGCATCTAGTTCCATACTCTTTAGAAACAGAGTATGGAAGCTTTAATAATAATATAAAAAGATAACCAGTGTTCCTGAAAACACTCCCAAATAAACATTAATGTTCAGAAAAAAGAACATATATTCTGGAAGCTGAAAAGAATGGATCTATAATCACTTGAATAACCTGATCTAGAATGCACAAGAGGCTTCTATGTTTTTAATGAGACCTGAGAAGAACCCTCTGGGATTAAAATGTTTTTGTACTGTGATATGTCCTTAAGGATTTATTTCTTTAACTGGAACCAACACACTTTTCCCTGATAGAATAAACTAAGGAGGCTGAACTTTAAACAGTACTCCTGGCTAGTATTTCTTATACCCTGACAAAACAATTAAAACCCATAACTCTAAATAAGCAGGTATCTGAAAATAGTTTATGACTGCAATCCAGTAATGTACTTATCTGAGAGTTAGGCCCATTACACCCAATGGGACTTGCTTCTGAGAAGATAAATAAAATGAAAGTTTCAGAAAGCTAATGAAATTTAAATCCAAGATTTCAGCAGTTATTTCTCAAGGTTTAGCCATAAGGGTTGGCCATCAGGCAATTACCGGTAAATTAAGTTTACGGTATATGTGATTCCTGTTGAAGGACAAAAGCCACACTATCCATTCAAAGCTAATGTCACCCAATTAAGTGGGAGAGGTTTTAATCAAAACAACTTTGCTACTGAAATCAACTACTATGCTTAATTTTGCTGAATTGTGCCCAATATTACTTCAGAGGGATCCTTAAAAGAGCTGGGAGACAAATGCACCAAATTAAGATACTATGACCTGGTTTGCATGCGGTGCTATGCCAAACTATGGTTCGATGTTACTAAGCAAGGATGCTGCTGCAGAGAGCAAAAATCTCACCTGCTTCACTTCTTCCCCCAGTCCTGCTGTTGCCACGAATGTCCTCAAAGGGCACAAGAAGCTATCCCTGAACAGAGAAATCTCTTTCCCATTTAGTCAAGGTCTTAGTTTCACAAAATTTGTATAAATTAAGCAGGGAAATAAAAAAACCAACAAACCTGATAATAATTTTATTAGTTTGTCAACTTAATTACAATGATACAAAAAGCATCTTAAGTCATAACCAGGATCACAGAATGAGTTGGAACGCCGCCCCCCCCCGGGTCATCGAGTTCAAATCCCTGCAATGCAGGAACCTCAACCAAGTTACATAAGAAATTTACACCCTTCAAAGGAATTGTTTCACACTATATTCTTCACTAGTGGGAAGTGCCTGGCACTTCCCAGGAATCTGAAGAAACCCCAAAATATTGTGATTTTTCAAAGGATAGTGTAATTAGTGAGTTTTAGGGCTGTGCACAACTATCCACTTACCCACCCGGGCTTCACCCTTCCCTGGGGAATGCTTGATCCAGCCCCAAATCAATTTGAGTGTGGCAAAGGGAGCTAATGTTTACTTAGCGTTAATTTGGCCTGTCATCTTGAGTCAACGTGTCATCTGGCATCTAAACATAGACCACCTCCTCCACCTTGGGAACGATCGTGCTGACGCTATCTCTTCAAAGGCATCTAAGCTTGGCACTGGTTGGCAACGTCACATCACATTTGGCAAAGTCCCACCAAACAGGGTGATAGTATCTTTAGAGGTGTACAATTCTGCGTAATTTGGACCTGTCATGCTATACTGGGCAAAGTCATATATCAATCCGTCATCTTGAGTCAACATGGTGCCCAGTGTCCAACTGTAACATTAGATCACCACCTCTACCTTGGGAACTGTCTTGCTGAGTTTGGTGATGTTATCTCAAGAGGCATCTAAATTGATGCAGGTTGGAACAGTCATTCCAAATTGGGCAAAGTCCTATAAAATGGGGTGACAATATCTTCAGAGGTATAAAAATCTGTGTACTTTGAGCCCATCCTACCAAATTGAGCAGTTACACCAAAGTCACATTTCAGTCTGCCACCTTGATTCAAAATGGTGCCTGGTGTCCAAAGACAGATGAATATGAGACCACCTCCATATGAGGAACCCTGATGCAGAGTTTGGTGACAATATCTCAAGAGGCATCCAAACTGGTGCAGGTAGGAACTATCCTGCCAAATGGGACAACAGTATCTTCAGAACCATCCAAATTGGTGTAGTCTGGACCCATTACATCAAAAACCAGGCAAACTCACACCAAAGTCATGCTTTGATCCGCCATCTTGATTCAAAATGGTGCCTTGGCATCCAAACATTGATGAAAACTACCATCTCCCCCTCGGGAACCCTTGTACAGAGTTTGGCAACAATACAGTATCTTGAGAGGTAGCCAGACCCATAGAGAACAGAGACATACAGAAAAACGACTATCCAAAACATATGGTAGATTTTAGCACCCAAATACCATACTTTTTCCAAAAAAAAGTTGATTTCTATAAACTGTAGGCACACTCCAGCTTTTTCTAAAAGTGACAAAAAGTACAAGTGTCTGCACCCCAGCCCCCAAATCTGCTGCAGTTCATGGAAGACATTATATATGAGGATTGTGTTGTTAAGTCCTACAACACATTCTGGGGCTGGAAGGTAAAGGAAGGGTCTGCAACTAGTCTAGTTTTAAGGATTCTGGAGTCTATACAGAGCCAACATCAATTTAGCCGCTGATAGTTTCTTTCCAGTTCCAGGACACAGCTTGGTTCTGAATGAAACAGCATCATACGGCGACATTTCATGTTCAGTGCAAATAAACTTGTGTAATTCAATAGAAAAAATATTAGTATTATTTTCATTTATTACCCCCCTTTCATCCTAAGGCCCCATGGCAGTGATTATTATGTGACCTTAGGGTGAAAGTTGGGTAATAACTGGTTTCCCACAGGCATCTGGTTGACCACTATGACAGCAGGAGGCTGGAGTGGGCGGGCCATTGGCCTTGTCCAGCAGAGCTCTTCTTAACGGAGAGGTATATTTTTAGGACCCACCTGATTTTTGTGATTGTAAGTTGCTTTGGGGCCTGAGTCAATCAGAGCTATAAACACTGTGAACACCATGGGCTCAGAAACAAACTGGCAGCTAGTGCAGCTGTTTTAAAACAGGGGTTATGTGAGATCGAAACAGAACGCCAGCCAGTAATCTGGCCGCTGCACTTTGGACTAATTGAAGCTCCTGCTGTAACTTCAAGGGCAGCCCCACACAGAACAGAGTGCAACAATATGATCTGGAAGTTATCACAGCATGGAGTACAGTGACCAAATTGTTTTGTTTAAAAGGTATCACAGCTGGTGAACCAGCCACAGTTGGGGGAAAAGGCACTCCTGGTCACCAAGGCCACCTGAGCCTCCAGTGTCAGCGCTGAATTCAAAAAACACCCCCAAGCTGTGGACCTGCTCTCACCAGAACAAGCCATCTCCTCACCTCCTGGACATCAGAACTTGGGACACATAACACCACTTTCAGGATTCAGCTTCAGTTTCATGGCCCACATCCAAACCACTGCCTCTAAGCACCTGTCTAACAGCTCAACTGCCTCTCCTGATTCAGATGAAACAGAGAGATAGAACTGGGTGTCATCTGCATACTGATGACGTTCCACTCCAAATCTCCTGATCACAGAACCAGAGACCTCATATAGATGTTAAATAGCATGGGAAACAAGATGTGACCCTATGGGACACTACAGGACACCAAATGCTAACCCCCCATAACTACTTCTTAGAAATGTCCCAGGAAGTAGGAGTGGACCCACTGAAGAACAAGGTCCCCAGCCCCAACCTCCCTGAGACAATATGCTCCTCTAGAAGGGTATTGTGGTTAACAGGATTGAAAGCCACCAAGAGATCAAGCAGAACAAGCAAACTCAAGCTCCCATCTCTTTCCCAACAAATGTCATCAACCCAAGTGGCCAATGTGGTTTCAGTGCCACAGGCAGGCCTGAAACCAGAGTGGAATGGATCCAAGTGATCAGTTTCCTCCAAGCATGCCTACAGCTGTACCAACTTATCGAGCACCTTGCCCCCAAAGGGGATATGATCATTTTTAAACACTTCCACAAATTCTATGAAATGAGCCAGTTTGGCTGCTCCTGCCTATCAATGTTTTTAGCCAATGAGTGAAGACGGATTTGTGACTGATAAGTGAGCTGTTTGGACACCAGATAACAGGAAACGCTGGGTCCTAAAGAGCTGCTCTTCCACCCTGCCCTTTAGTGCACTTTTCCTGCTTCGGCCTTATTTTTTAGTTCCTGGAATCTCTGTAGTTTGTCCTCTTGCTTTCCCTAGCAGCCAGGGTGCATTTTGTTTGTGGTGGCTTCATCTGAGATCAGGTAGTTTCTAGAGGTTATTTTCTGCAAATACTGTTAAACAATGTTTGAGTGGATGTTAACTTCAAAAGGAAAATTTGAAACATTTGCAAAGAGGCATGTCACTTGCTGTACAGCAGTTAAAGATCAAGCACTCATTAAGAATTCACTGTATAGTTAACTTACAGTATAATGTAATCTACTCAGAAGTTTCTTTTTATTTAATGGAGCTTGCTCCCAGGTAAGTGGATGCAGGATGGCAGCCTAGGCTTTGGTTTAGGGTTGGCACTGGGGGAAAACAGGTATTTCTGCATCGTAGCAGACAGAAAATCAATAAGTGAAACCTTTTTGGTGGGGAAATAAAGTCATGGGAAAAGCTTCACCATGACTGAACTCTCTAATTTTGTGTTATGCCGCACTCTCCATGGCAGCTGTGTTGTGTTATGCCATGTCATTTCCCCATGGCGGCCATTTTTTGATTGGCACCCACAGCAATACCTGATATAGATCTGCCCTGAAATCTATGGATGCATATACAAATAATAATAATAAGAAGAAGAAGAAGAAGAAGAATATATTTTCAACTGCAAATTTGACAGAGACCCACATTATTAGGCAGAGAAATACAAAACACCAGGTGTGCTAGTTCATTGGGATTTGCGTGAGGTGCTGCTGTCCTGACCCACTCACCAACCAAGAGAGGTTCACATACCTCTCTTTTCTCTTTGTTCTCTTTGTCTTCAGCATCTCTTTGCCAAACACTTTTCATATCAAAATCAAAAGGCCCTCTTTTAGGCTCATAGCTGGCAGGTTGATCAGCCTTAAACTCCTCGTGGATCATGTAGTCTGGCATAGCTGAAACTCGAGGCCTGCGGAAAACAGTTTTACCATTTACTGTGAAGTATTTTGTTATGAAAGGTTCCAGGTGCTTCCAAATGCTGTGACATTTTCTTCCTTTCAACATTCTTCAACTCCACTCTTCCTCAGTCACCCAAAAGAGATTAGCATGAAGACAGAATACTTACTTAGACTCATCAGCTGCTGCTGTTGCTGCTGCTGGTTTGCCATGATGTGTATACCACTCAGGTGCACCATAAGACCCCAGAGACACTTTCCGTGGAGTAGGTGTAAAATGTCTCAACAAGTCTTAAGTGAAGGAGACAAAGTTATTTAAGTTTTGTTTTTTTAAACAAATAGATAACTAGTTTTCTGGACATTCTTAAAACAAGAGGGCAATATGAAAAATGCTTCATTCTATCCCTCCCCATGAGATTAAGGGGCAAACTATACTAGGTGGCAGAGACCTACGACAGGATCTCTTGGTGCTGGCCCTGCCACTAGTATGCAGCCTGTAATCACAATTCCCTGAGGGAATGTGGTCCTTGGCCCTGAGAAGGTCGTCCACTGCTGCTCTAACCAATGTGCCTTCCCAACAAATGTTTCAAGCATGAAATTTTTTTAAGTAGACAGGGAAACTTATTTTCTCTCTCACACACACACTCATGCACCATGGCTCACACACAAATCTGCCTGCCTTCCCCAATTCCCTACACTACAAAAAAGAATACTGAAAATATCCAAATGGAGGCAGAAAAGGAGGGAAGGGAAACAGATCAAATGATTTCATTTTTTTTTCATTTGAATTCAAGAGAAACAATCATTTGTCAGAAGATCTCTACTTACTAACAGAGCAAGCCAATATACAGAAATAAAAACACAAAAGCAACTGCATTTATGCCTGGGTTAACTCCCCTCCATGCTGATTTACAAATAAAATTGTTCCCCAAGGCTGTTACTTATTTGGAAAAAAATGTGCAAGTTTCCTCTGATAGCTGCTTTCAGGTAAGGTGATGCATTTACAGCTTGATTCAATGCACTTTTACTCTGAAGCAAGCCCACTGATTTCAGTTGGCCTTACTCAAAGGTAAATGTGCAATTTTTTGTTAAGTATGAATTCAACCAAGATTGACACAAAAGGTTACAGAATACTGCTAAAATTGTGGGTTCTTTCAAAACAAAAGAACCTGCATTTCTGCAACATCACCGCTTTCAAGGTGGCATGGAACATCCATATTTTGTGTGTTTTATCCTCCCCAATGTCCCCAAATTTCTTATAGCACTTTCCAGACCATTTATATGTACAAGCCTCCTGAAATCGCCATAAGATTCATATGAATTTTAACTACCAGGTCGGCCTCCTTGTTTTGCCAGCTTTACATATTCCGAGTCAGTGTCTTTAATCCACTTCCTTCGCCCCCCAAATGTAATCTCACTGTGAGGATCTCCAAAATCACCGAGACCTGGGATCTGGGATGTTGGCTGCTGTTGAGCTTCAGAATTAACAGACTCCTCTGATCGCTTGAGTGGCACATGATAGTACCAATCTGCATTAACAAGCAAAAAGATGAACATCACATTTTGAGATTTGTATTATATTAAGTGGTATAAACTTAATTTGATTTTGTTCTGTGAACCACCCTAAGACCTCCAGGTATAGATAGGGCAGTCTTTATATATTCGGTACGTAATAATTATAATTATAAAAAACAATGAAAAACGGGAAAACTATTCCAGTTTTTTTTAAAAAAAAACATTTATAAAGAATAATTTATATTACTTCTACTCCCCATTACTACAAAAACCAATGACCTAATATAACAGGAACCCACACAATTAAAAGCCTGGCTGCCTCTCCTGGTACTGTTCATCCGTTAGAAAGATCAAGGGCATTTCAATGCCAAGTCAGATAGAAATGTCTCTACATCAGGATAGTCCAACCTGCAGCCCAATGGCCACACATACCCCCCCCCAGCTCTTTCTGTGAACCCCGCAAGGTGCATGGCTGCTGCTGTAACCCTCCTGGCTTTCTCCTTTAGCTCTACACTGTTCCTCATTGATCCAAAAGGCATCATTTATTTCCGCTTTTCTGGTCTTCTTTTCCTGCCCTTTACTGCAAAAACACACCAGTCAAATTGTTTCTTCTTGTCTCCAAGCAGCTCCATGACTGCTTCTGTTGGTCCTCTTTTAGTCTTCTCCTCCAAACTAGAATCTTGGTCAATTTTTCCCTCCTGGACACAACAAGAAGTGTGCACAAGAATGTGTATGTGTGCAAGCATAGGAGCCAACTCCTAGGGGTCAAGGTCCCTTCGGCCCACTAAAAAATATTTGAGGGAGCAGCTACCCCCCAAAGTTGATGGGCATTGCCATTCAAATGGGGTGTGCACACCACATTTATGTGGGGCGTGGCTTACCTGGGCTCCCCCAATATTGTATTCAAGCTGGCACCCCTGCATGGAAGAGAGAATAGGAGCTTTTCTCCTGGTTGCCTGCCTCCCCTTTTATTTTTAAATTGCCACGCATGTAAAGCTGAATGCACACGAGCTAAATGTGCATAAGTAGTGAGCTTACTGTACAAAATGAAGATGTCTAAACACTGTAAACACCACAGGATCTAGTTCTGAGAAAGGTATTATATAGTCCCTAACTAAAGTTTGAGAAAAGATATATGCACAAAGATGGAAAGATACAGCCCTACCTACTATGGGGAAATGGTTGGTAAAATTATTCGACTTAGCTGAGATGGCAAAGTTAATGTGATTAATTAAAGAAAAATCACTGACATTTATTAAGGATTGGAAACTTCTTATGGACTTAATTGTGTGAAACAGAAAATGAACTTGTAATAGCTGGATTTTAAGACTGAAAAAGTATTGGCGTATAGAAAACAGCATCGTTGGCTGTTCCTGAGCCTCTATAGTTGAGGGCTGGCTGGAGGGCAGGGGCTGCCTTAGCAGGTCCTGGGGTCAGGACCACCATTTTCTGCCCCTGCCTCTTGCCTTTCTTTTGCGCTGAAGACACGGATCCACAGTCATTATACTTTCCTCTGTGCGTCCTATCAAATTCAAATGTAAGCTATTTTCACTAAAATAAAAAAGAGCGCGGTTTTGAAAGGCTTTACATGAGAAATATCACGTTTATAAACTGTGTACTTGCCACATGGTGCGTATCGATTTGGGGGTCCGCGGGGCTCTTTATTTGTATTCCTCATACCTGCGGAACGGGGAGAACGGGGGTGTTTTCAAAAGGAAGCCTTTGGCCAAATCCCTGCCAAAGAAGCCAGGCAAGCCGGCCGACCCCCCCCCCCCGCCCCACTTCTGAATCCGAAAGGCTTCGCGCTAACTTTCCCGCCCACCTCGGAGCATCCTGAACCGAGTGCCCAGTTCCCCACAGCGTCGCTGCAGAGACGGACTCGGGTTCCCTTCTGAATCCCCGGGTCCGCCAACCCGCTTCCCCGCTGACCCTCCCGAAGGAGACGCCGCCCACCCCCGACCCAGCCGGGGAGGCTGCTCCGACGGCCGCTCCGACGGGCCTCGGTTCAGGCTGCCGGGGGAGCGCGGGGCGGGAGACCCTCCGCGAGAGGAGGAGGACGCTTTCCTCCCTGGCCGCCCTCTCTCGCCTGGTTCCGGAGCTCGCCCGGGGGAAGACACCCTCCGCCGCCGAGTTCCAAGTGGGACGGGAGGCCGCCGCCGGCGCCGCCGCGAGAGCGACCCAGAGGCGGAGGAGGCCGCAAACAATCCCGTCGCCCGGCAACGGCGGCTTCGCGCGCCCCGGGAGCGGGAGGCCGAGCGGGGGAGGGAGGGAGGCGAGGCGGCCGGGAGAGAGAGCGCGCGAGCGAGCGAGCGAGGGGGTCTCGCCGGCGCCCCACTGCGCCCCACGGAGGGCGACCCCAGCGGCAGGGGGCTTCCTCAGCCGGCGAGGTGAGCCGCCCGCCCGCCCGCCCGCCTCAAAGCGGGTTACACAAGGGCGAAGCAGCCCTGGAGTCGAGGAGGACTCGCGGGAGAAGTTCAAGCCCCGAGGCAGATGTCAGTCACCTCAGCTCCCTTAGCTTCTGAGGCGGCTTGTCCGAACAGGAAGGCGTTACCACGAGGGTGTACCTGGATTCACACGTGCACAGCCGGCACTCGTGTGTGTCCCCATATACACACTGCTGAGAGGTGATCTTAATCTTGTCCCCACGAGAAGCTCTCGCACCAAGAAAGCTCGGCTGGTTCTATGAAATAGGAGTGACAAAGCGCTGGCACCACGCCCGGGGGGCGCCCACAAAATCCTTGCTGGCCTCTGCCCCCTCTGCAGGCCCCAGCCCATATGGGGGCCAGAGCGCGGGGCCGGCCGGCCGTGTGACAGCAGGCTGCCGCTGCATTTCCAGAAGATCAGCCAAGACCAAGTCTGGTTTCCTTAAATATATCTGTTGGTCTCTTTGAGGCTTTTTGCGACCCCTCTTCTTGGTTCTGTACAAATCCTTTCAAGGAGTTTTGATATGTAAAACTTCCAACAGGATTCCTTTAGATTTACTTTTGTTTGATTACTTGTTTCAGGAAATTATACTTTTGTTGTAATTTTAGGTCCGGCTTAAGGTGAAGAAATGCTTTTTGCAAGTCTAATTTCAAGTAGAAAGTGCCCCTCCAATAATAGTAATGGCATGTTTGACATGTTTTTCATTCACACTGATATAAGTAAAAAACCTCCTTTTCCCTTGGGGTACCCAAGAGCCCATATAGATTCCTTTTTATAGGTTCCCTATTGGTAGGAGAACATAACAGAGGCCAACCAGAGAATATTGAGAAGCAAGGCAGCTAGTAAGCCTGATCTTTATTAAAGCTGTTGCAACAGGGTTCTCCCCACACGCATGGGGGGTGGGGAGCACAAGCGTGCAAGCCCTTATATAGACTTTTTAAATTGCCCACCTTCAAACTCTAGACCACCCCCAGAAACATCATACATACATCACAGAAGGGGTGGTCTAAAACAGAATCCTGAGTGTGTTGTTTATCTCCTGTCTGGCAAGTTACCTGATTGCATTATTTGAGTTTTGGCCACTCTTGTTATTAAAGTAAAGGTAAAGGTACCCCTGACCATTAGATCCAGTCGCGGACGACTCTGGGGTTGTGGCACTCATCTCGCTTTATAGGCCGAGGGAGCCGGCATTTGTCCGCAGACAGCTTCTGGGTCATGTGGCCAGCATGACTAAGCTGCTTCTGGCGAACCAGAGCAGCGCACGGAAACGCCGTTTACCTTCCCACCTGGAGCGGTACCTATTTATCTACTTGCACTTGAAGTGCTTTCGAACTGCTAGGTGGGCAGGAGCAGGGACCGAGCAATGGGAGCTCACCCCGTCACGGGGATTCGAACCGCCGACCTTCTGATTGGCAAGCCCTAGAACCTAGGTCACAGGCTCACGCCCTGTTCATATCTTGAATGTGCCCTTAACACTGGATTTGTGAGGACAGGATTTGTGAGGAAAGAGACAATGGGGAGGTTTTCCACTTTGATGTTGCAGAGAAGTATTTGAGGTCAATTTATTCAGGACCTTTTCTGCGGTGTTTCAGACATATGGTTTATATATACAGTTATGAACATTTCACCCACATTTAAAATGGCACATTGTTAGCTATTTTAGGTCAGTATACCCTGCAATTAGGGATGCGGGTGGTGCTGTGGTCTAAAGCACAGAGCCTAGGGCTTGCCGATCAGAAGGTCAGCGGTTCAAATCCCTGTGACGGTGTTTCCGTGTGCTGCTCTGGTTCGCCAGAAGCGGCTTAGTCCTGCTGGCCACATGACCCGGAAGCTGTCTGCGGACAAATATCGGCTCTCTCAGCCAGTAAAGCAAGATGAGCACCGCAACCCCAGAGTCGTCCACGACTGGACTTAACGGTCAGGGGTACCTTTACCTTTACGCTGCAATTCTTTTTAGTTCCCTTTTATATATTTCCTTATTCATATTATTTTAGCATCAAGGAGTAAGCGCATAAAAATATGTACAGAATCCCAAAGAGCTCAGGGAGTATCTATTCAACAGAAGACTCTAATGAAGCAAACAATGGCTGTAACAATGAGACCTCAGACTCTGACACCCAACAACTTTTGGAGAGGTATGCATGATTTTGAATATTAACTAATTTATTTCAGTATTCAAGAAACATACAATATGACAAATGTGGTGAAATGTTCTCTCTTTATTCTTCCCAAATAGCTGTCCAGCTGTAGTAGCTTGGGGTTGGGGACTGCATGGCACAGACATTACTTTGTATGTCATGTTATTTAAGGATATTAAATCTATTACATGTATTTACTTATATATATTTAATTAAATATTTTAAATAGCATTAACTATAACACAAACACTTTAATTTACAATATGGAAATTTAATTCAGTGTGTGGCTTTCATGCTCTTGTGTCTGAGAGGTTGCACCGCCCTGCTATAGATAGTGGATAAAAAACTTGTTTTCCTTTCTAATTATTTATTTATATTTCTTATACAGTGGTGCCCCGCAAGACGAATGCCTCGCAAGACGAAAAACTCGCTAGATGAAAGGGTTTTGCGTTTTTTGAGTCGTTCCGCAAGACGAATTTCCCTATGGGCTTGCTTCGCACGACGAAACGTCTTGCGAGTTTGTTTCCTTTTTCTTAAAGCCGCTAAGCCGTTAATAGCCGCTAAGCTGTTAATAGCCGCTAAGCCGCTAATAGCCGCTAAGCCGCTAATAGCCGTGCTTCGCAAGACGAAAAAACTGCAAGACGAAGAGACTCGCGGAACGGATTAATTTCGTCTTGCAAGGCACCACTGTAATGTCTGTGTTAGCATCCAAGATGCCATGAAACAATGTAGAAATATCAAAAGCAATACATAGGTAAAGACAGGTAAAATTAGTCCAATAAAACAGAACCTCCTCATAATTTAGAAGCTGGGGTCATTCAGTGAAGCTCATTCAGGTTCAGGACAGACAAAAATTGTGACCTGTAGATTAAATGGATTTTAAAAAGAACGGAATAAGCTTAGCCTTTCAGGGATGTACCAGCCATAGCAGCTAAATTAATCTGTGTGTATAGAAGCAGTATATTCTGAACAGCAGATGCTGAGGATGAACATCACCTTCATGCCCTGCTTAGGTTCTTCCAGAAGCATTGGAACACAAGACTTTTGGTCAAATCCACCTGGGCATTTCTTGAGCTCTAACACTTTTTTCATTTTGTAGTTTGTCCCAAGGAAAAAAATCACCTTGCAGCTGCACCAACAGCCACCCTCTCTTCTCTCATAAAGGGAAAAATGTTCAGTGTCCATGCCCACCCAAGAGTAAGTTCAGTTGTAGTTATTACTCACTTATAAGGGGGCTTTTGCATTTTTTATGGTTTGTGAACCCAGATGTTGAACCAACATGTTGACAAGATTTCCTTCACTATTTCACATCCTCCAGTCCTGTGTAACAAACAAAAAATACCAAAGCATAATAAGAAAAAAATGATTCAAAATGGTCAGGTTGACTAAATTAAAGTAGTTTGTCCCTTGAAACAGTGTTTCTTTTTGCTTTTATCCTTTTATTTCGAAATAATATTTTTAGAAGCTCAAGAGCTCATTTTGTGACTCTGTTCTAAAGTCATATTGGGCCACTACAATTCCATATTTTCTTTTTTTATCCAAATTTACTGTCTATTTTCATAATGCTATGGGTTTGCAGCATTTCTGTGGGGGAGTTGGTTGACATAAACTTTCATATTTTTTTCTGGTGTCTAAAGAGTTTAATCTTGGATTTTGTTTTGTTTTTCAAATCTTGATTAAAGAGGCTAATAAACATTAGTTCAAACAGCTTGTCAATACAACAGCATGATTGAAAATGGAGAACATTTCTTTTGAAATAATTGCATTGAGGTTACATACTGAAGAATGGATCTGTGTTGGATAAGGGCAATAAATACAATTAGAATTTCACAGAAATAAGAGATTCTTCAGCTGTGGGAAAATTACATTTCCCATACTTGACTCCCGTTATAGGTTAGCTTTGCTATATCTTTTCAATTTATAAAAAACAAATTGTAAATTATGTTCCAGTAATTTTCACTAGTATGTCTGTAATATAAGGTGTGATCTCATGAAAGTTAAGCACATTCAATTCCTATTGATTTCAATATACCCCCTCCCCATTTTCCTGGAAAACTGCCAGCAAGTATGGTCTTAACAAATTAACTGCATCTGCTGAATAAATACGACCAATACAGCAAACATGAAATTGCATAGCATGAGCTTTGTAAAGTCATTCTAACGATGTGTTGCATTGTTTAATTGTCCTCTTGTGTGTATTTCCCAGAAAGTTTCACTAGACTCATCTGTAATTTGATAGGGCTGAGCCTAATAACTCCATTTTGCTTAGTGAAAAGAGTCTGCATCACTTTATCAAGGTAAATATGAGGGGCGGGAATGTTTTCTGAATAACAAACTGAAAAAAGGCTGCAATCCTAACCCCATTTTCCCAGGAGTAAGCCCCACTTTGCCATGTGTTAGCACCATGCCGCTGTGCCATTTTTGTACTTTGCAAGGTATTAATATTGGTGATACATTGCACTGCACTGATGTACCAGTACAAAGGGGGACTGACAAAGGAGTAAGCAATACCTGGTTCCTCAGTTTGAGTCCTCCACCTGCACAGAGATATCCACAGGAACGAACAATGATGCATGCTTATTCTTATTTATTGAATTTATATACTACTGTATATAAAGAGGTCTCATGGCAGTTCACAGAAAAGAGCAACATAAAAACCACAGTATATATAATCAAAATAAAAACAACAACCCAATAACACCCCCCCACACACACACCAAAAAAGAACCACAATTTAAAAGAGCATCGGATGTCAATCAGATCAACCAAAGGCCTGGTTAAAAAGAAACGTTTTTGCCAGGCACCTCAAGGTGTACAATGAAGGCACCAAGTGAACTTCCCTGGGGAGAGCATTCCACAACTGGGGAGCCACTGCAGAGAAGGCCCGTTCTCGTGTTGCCACCCTCCGGACCTCTTGAGGAGGAGGCACATGAAGAAGGGCCTCAGAAGATGATCTCAGGGTTCGGGTAGGTTCATATGGAAACAGGCGGTCCTTGAGGTATTGTGGTCCTGAGCCTTTTAAGGCTTTATAGGTCAAAACCAGCACTTTGAATTGGCCCAGAAACTAATTGGTAGCCAGTGCAATTGGACCAGGATCGGTGTAGTATGCTCAAGCCATCTTGCTCTGGTGAGCAACCTGGCCGCTGAATTCTGCACTAACTGAAGTTTCCGAACCGTCTTCAGAGGCAGCCCTACTTATAACACATTTCAGTAATCTAACCTTGAGGTTACCAGAACGTAGACAACAGTAGTTAGGCTGTCCCTGTCCAGATAGTGGCGTAGCTGGGCCACCAGCCGAAGCTGATGGAAGGCACTCTGGGCCACTGAGGCCAGCTGAGTCTCAAGGATCCAGGAGGACCCCCAAGCTATGAACCTGCTCCTTCAGAGCAAGTGTAACCCCATCAAGAGCAAGTGATCTCCCACCCATCTGGTCTAGGGAACCACCCACTAACAGTGCCTCAGTCTTATCTGGATTGAGCTTCCCTTTGTTGGCTCTCATCCAGTCCATGACCGAGGCAAGACACTGATCCAGCACTTCCACTGCAGATGTAAAGGAGAAACAGAGCTGAGTGTCATCAGCATACTGCTGACAATGTACTCCAAACCTCCGGATAACCCCACCCAGCGGTTTCATGTAGAAGTTAAACAACATGGGGGATAGGATTGAGCCCTGCGGAACCCTAAATTGAAGGTTCCACGGGGCTGAAAAGCACTCCCCAAGTCACACCCTCTGGGAACAACATCCAAGTAGGACTGGAACCACCGCAAAGCGATGCCAGCCACCCCTAGTTTGGAGAGTCGCTCCAGATATATGCACTTGTGCTGGCCAATGAATGCTTTTGTGCAGAAACAGGATTCATTCAAAACGGGGGAAATGTGTTCTGCCAATTTCTCCATGAGCTTTTCTAACACTTAATTGGGGTTGAGAAGGAGGCAGGCTTTAAAAGGTAAAGGGAACTTCTCCAGGTTGCATCCACTAACTCTATTTCACTATCAAGCTAGATGCCTCTAAACTGTCACTATTTTGCAGGAGATTGAAGTGCATACCAGGAAATTTAGATTTGAACAGTTAAAGCACTGTCTCCTGTCTCCACATTTTTTAAAAAAGAAGCAGGAAAGTGGTGAGGAAATACATTGACAAGTGTAGAATGAACAAATGATAAATGGAAATGTAAAAACACCCCACCAGAAAATCAGAATGAATGTTCATTGTTGTATAACCTCCCTGCAAACAAATCAAAATGAAAGCTCAATAAAGACAGGATGAGTAAGATTTGTTCAAGCAAATCGGAGTGAATGCTTAAAAAATCTGGAGGAGCCATCTTATTGAAATTAGAACCCGATTATTGTACAGTATACCTGAAAGCAGTAAACAGCATCAAGCCCATAATAGAACCAACAGTCTGGGCATTCTGGGGTGTCTAAGTTGGAGTAGCTAACTTAGCTGTTTGTTCAAAGTTTCATATGACTAGAATGTAATTCTAGAATAATTCTCTTGTTTTGCAGGGCGAGCTCTGCTCAGAAAGTTGTGTCTTGGGTGACCCTGTTCCTACTGTTTTTTGGTGCGCTTCTTCCTACGGGGCTAAGTATACACTGAGTATGCACTGGTGTACATTATGGCTAGCCATGTTTACAAGGACATAAGATTCACATAATTCAGTGGAACTTACTGTACTAGTCTATGCTGGACGTGGATGGCACTGTAGTCTAAACCACTGAGCCTCTTGGGCTTGCCGATCGGAAGGTTGGTGGTTCTAATCCCCACGATGGAGTGAGCTCCCGTTTCTCTGGCCTAGCTTTTGCCAACCTAGCAATTCGAAAGCATGCCAGTGCAAGTAGATAAATAGGTATCGCAGTGGCAGGAAGGTAAATGGCATTTCCATGTGCTCTGGGTTCCGTCACAGTATTCCATTGTGCCAGAAATGGTTTAGTCCTGCTGGCCACATGACCTGGAAAGCTGTCTGGACAAACGCCAACTCCTTCAGCCTGAAAGCGAGATGAGCGCCGCAACCCCATAGTCGCCTTTGACTGGACTTAACCATCCTGGAGTCCTTTACCTTTACCTTTCACTAGCCTATGCACGTCTGTTCGCAAGTAACTCCCAGTGGGGCTTACTCACTATGAAGTGTGTTTAGGATTGCAGGTTTGTCAGCATGCTGAGGATAGTAACCTTAAATTGATGGGCACAAAGAGGACTTTGGTTACCTGTCCTTCTATGTACTAGCTATTACTCATGTGATTTAATAACATGTTTTATAGAGCAGGGAATGGAAAGTTGGAGTTACTGTGAAATGTCTTTCTGGTCAGCATAGAATGGCACATACATGAATGAATTAACTCATCTTCTAGAGGCAGGCTAATTTTTTAAAAAAATAAAAAATTGCTAAGACCAGCCAGAATGGGAGGTGGCCTTCCTGTAATCGCCAGATATGAGCAAAGCTGCTAGCGGCAGGTAGAGGACAGCAGAGTTGTCATGGGGAGCCCTGTCTGACCTTTCCAGAGTACTGTGCAAATGCAGATTGAGAGAAGCTGCCCCCTAATCCTAGGTTTGACCTAGGTGGGGTGCGTACAAGGTGGAGCTGACAGGAACAGGATGTAAACCAGTTTTCATCTGCTGCTCCATGTGGGAGGAGAACCTAAGCCACAACCCACTGGAACATCTTCCTGCCGGAAGCTGCTTCTGCAGAAGCACATTTGTCCACTTAAGCGAAGGTGGACAGGTGAGCCCAGGTGATTGCCCTGCATATAGATTCTAGCGGGGTGCAGGTGTGTAAAGGTGTGGTGGTGATTCCACACACTAAGTGATATTGATGCCTGTTGGAGGACCCTGGGCTTTTGCCTGGTATGCAAGCATGATTCGGTCCCTGCCTGACCTGCTGATAGTGTCAAGGTACCTTCCTACTCAGGGACTCCTGTTTGAAGGAGGCAGACAAGGATTCTGATTTTCTTAAGGGCTCTGTGTAAGTCAGGTACACCCTGAGGCCCCGCCTGATGTCCAGTGTATGCCATTTCCTTCCCTCATGGTGAATTGGGTGGAAAACAATTTGGGTGACATGATGGCCTTATTCTTATGAAAGGAAAAGTCTAAAAGTCTACTTTTGTTAAGAAGTTGAGTTATGGTTCAAGGCTACCCTGAGTAGCATGTGCAGATAGCAACTGGCTTAAGAACCCCCTTTGGCTCCCTGGCTACGCAAAGGGATTTGAACTCTATTCTCCACAGTCCTGACCCAGTACTCAGTCTAGTTACCTTAACTCTGATTTCGGCTAGTGCTGATGAGAGAGCCTTTGTTCTTGCCTGGCTTCTGCATTCTTAACCCCTGCACTGCTCCAAGTGTTTTACTTGGGAACACAATGTGTGAAATAAAAGAAACAGATAAAGCCATGTTATGGGTTAGCTAACCTACCCATGTAGCAGCGCTTTTTTCAGGAGGTACTGCAACAACTTCATGGTTAGTGCTGGCACCTATTTTTCTAGAAAAAAATCACCGCCATGTAGGATGACATACTGAGATTGTTGCCATGTTTAATCTGCTGAGAAGGAAGAGAATAATCAATTTGTTAATACAAAGAGGGTTTTTATTACTATTATTAATAGGTGCTACCTACATGGGACTATTTGATGGAAATAAATTTCAGATTTTTGGAGAAGAATGGAGGGACTTCTCTATTTGTGATCTCATCCAGGTGATTTTTTGTTTTGCTTTGTTACAACAATCTCCCTAGGTAAAATATGAGATATTATAGAGCACAAATTATGTTTATGCATTATCTCATTTCAATTGGCAGCCAGAACAAATGCTGTCCTTGAAGGTTTCACAGATAGAATGTCTTATGATCTCTTTTGTGTTGAGAGTAGGATTACACCTTTTTCTAATCCTGCATCTGTTTCATAGAACCATAAGGGACCCCAAAGTTATCGAGTCCAACCCCCTGCTATGCAGAAATCTCAACTAAAGCATCTAGCATACCTAAGCCAGTGAAGCAGGGCTTTTTTTCCAGCCGGAGCTCACTAGAGCTCAACTCTGGCACCTCTCAAGTGGGTGCCATTGCCGTTCTAAAAGAACAAGGGGGAAGTTCATGGTGAGCTCCAGCAACTCTTTCTTTCGAAAAATAGCACTGCAGTGAAGCTTTTTCTGACTTCATGCCAGGGACAGCTTACCAGCTTATGTCAGTTTAAATGCATAAGAGCAGGGCCAGTAAAAAAGGTGGCGACCCTAATTTTGGCAAAACCAAAGATTTCCAGCTTGGCTAATATTAGGGAGTCTCATCCTCAGAGCACCTTACCTTTGTGAGCATTCAGTGATGCTTCCATTAGCTTTTTTTTTATCACGTTTGTACTGGCAAGATCCCTGCACTAAAGGCAGATTATAGGTCAGCTGCAGAACCTTCTGATTTTGAACTTTGAGGAAATACCTTAGTAAGGGGGTGAATGCAATGAGGACTATCTCCACGGCAGTGGCATGCGGTCAATGGACTAGGGGGACTAGCCTAGTCCACTAAATGTTCCTGGTAAATTAGAGTATTAAAAGTATTAAAGCCTTGAGCCTCCTTCCTAAAGCCCGGGAAACTTCTGCCCAGCTTAGGTAGGGAGTAGGGCTGGGCGATACCTGGTTTTCAACATTACGATATCTAAAATAAGGCTGGAGCTATGTAGAGGTGAACATGGTGCTGGCAACTGCTATTACTTATGGGTATAACTCTAAAACTGATAAAATTTTACTTAACATATTGTTACAACTGTTATGTTATAGTACTACTGTACCAATAATAGTACATTTTCTCTAAAATTAAATTACTGTGGAAGTAATTAGTAGCATAGATACCAAAGGTTCCCTAAAAATTTAATTACATTGCTAAACAAGAAAAAAGCAAATTCAGTTTCACACTTTTAGATACTCAAATATAATTCACTATCGAGTCTTAGTTGAATGTATACATCACACAACACCAGTTATTTGATTGTTTGTTAATTTTCTTTTCTAAACGAGGCCAAAATAGAAAGAATGGAATGGATAAATTTTAGCAGAACAAAATATAAACAAAATTTATATTTTAATTGTGAGGAAAATTTGCATTTCTTTTATAAACCAGGCCAAACCGGAAAGCATGGATCAAATTTTACAGAACAAAATTATTAAATGAAATGTATTTTATTTTTTTTTTGCAAGTGAAATTTGCATTTTGGTGTTCTGTGGCAGTTGTGATGCCCTTTGTATTTGAAGAACATTGCCAGCCAAGCTGAACACGCTTTCAGATTGCACACTTGTTCTTGGGATAGCCAAAAACTTATTTGCAAGCTCTTTCAACATTGGGAAGGATGCCTAATGCGCCTTCCACCCCATCCGAGGGCATTCGTCAATGTCCACTCTTGGCGTAGCCATCTAGGAGAAAATGAGCAGCATAAGGGGGGGGGGAGACCCAGAAGAGGCTCAAACGCAAAGCGGGGGGGGGGTCCTTTTACTCTGAAGCAACTTGCAAGCCAACAAGCATCTCAAGAGCGTATTTCCCTCCTGTTGGCATCAGGGGAGGGGAGAGCCAAAGACTCACAGAGTTAACTTGGGGCTGGCAGCGTGGGCTGCTTCTACCCCAAAGAAAGGCACACACAACAAACACTGGGTGCCCCCCCCTTTTATTCTGAAGAAACATCTGAAAACACAGAGAGAGAGAGAGGCAGGGAAGGCGAATTGGGGCTCATTCACAGAGCAAGGAGGGGAGAGAGATGGAGCTCAAGCAGCCTCTGCGCAGCCCTGGCCTGGCTCCGAAAGAAGCATCGCTGGGGGAGTCAGGGAGACACCATCCCACCCCCAAGCAGGACAGTTTTAACAAGGGGGCGGCTGCAGCTTACAGAAAACGAAGTGAGAACTGTTGGCTGGGTTAATAAAAAACGCCGTGCTTTTAGCCCGGCTGGTGGCTGCGCCCCCCACCCCGCCATCAGGAGGGGGGCAGACACCCGGACACACAGGCAGGTGGAGGGGGTGGCAGAAGAGGGCCAAATGCCAAAGGAAGGGGGAGTAAAAGGGGCTCCCGAAGTCTGAAGCTGCCGGCTTGAAGCCAACTCCCAGCCTGGCGCCCTGAAGCAGGAGCCTGGCGGGAAGAAGTCGCTGCTTGCTGGCTGGCTGGCTGGATGGCCAGGCAGGGAGGCGGAGAGCTAACCGGTTCTCAAAGCTCTGCTGGGCGATATTTCACTCAGCCTGCTGCAGTCATTCATAGCAATTTCTTGCTGCTGCGGGAGGCAGGGAAGAGCTGACCGAGGTGGAGTTAGCATCCACAGGAAGAAGCATCGGCTTCCTGGTTTTTCCAGTATTGTGATTTTTTAATACCACAAAAAACATGATATGCGATAAATTACAAGCACATTTTTTAAAAAAACGATTATCACAATTTGATCTAAAACCTAGTATCGGATGATATAGCACAGCCCTCCTGGGGAGGCATGATGCTCCAACGAGGTCCAAGAGCCCTTCTGCATCCTGTCAGAGGCCTGCCGCCTCCTTCGCAAAGCCCATGAAGCTTCTGCCCAGCTTAGGGAAGGAGGTGCGAGGCTCATGCAGGCATGCAATATTGCCCCCCCCATCACCCTTGCAAGCTGGTGCCTCTGTGACCCTACAAAAAATTTCACCACACACCACTGCTCTAAGGGCCAAACCAGATCAGCTAGATTAATTCAGTTAGCATATTGTTTAGTATGGCCCAGCATTTTTTCCTGCACCAAGATTTTCTGGCATGGGCTACTTAGATCTGACCCTACCCAAAAGCCACTGGGTGTTTTGTCTTTGGCATCAGTGGCTGAATTATTTAAAAATGGGGGGGGGGGGATTATAAAATCCAATTTAAACATGTTTACTCAGAATAAGAGTTAGTTTGCTTATATTCCACTTAGAGCTGCTTACCCCTCCAAAGGATTGTTTAACTTCTCTTAACCTCAACAAAGCTACTGCATTAGTTGCTTCAAGACCATTTGCTGGGACCCAAATGTGCATAGGATATTGGTGTAATGAGAAGCATGAGACTCTTATTTCCATTATTTTACTTTCTTGCCTTTGTGCAATGATCTCTTTGGTGTAAGCTTGTTTCTAATTAAACTTGCTTCTCCCCCCCCCCTTTTTTTTATATACAGGGTGAAACACAAGATCTGAGATCCCTAATGTAAGAACAAGTTTAAAATAATTTGTGTAAATATTTGGCAAGTGCCTGTACCTTATTTCCTTGTCCATCTGACACACCTTCCCCCTCTCTCCTGGCTCCCACCCAGGGCCTAAACAAACTCACAGCTCACCCACAAAAGTCTCACAAAGATTATGAGACTGCCCTCAGGCTGCCCACAGCTATGTCCCATTTAGTCAACTGCACTCCCCATACCCAGGTCTGAAGGGACTTGGTAAGAGGATATATTAATTATATTTTAATGGGGGGGGGCCTAACAACGAAAGAATGGCTGGTGCCGGTTTTAAAAACATGGGGCTAGCACATAGAGAGCCCTACTAGCAGAGTATTAAGTCCCATTGTTAGACAGATTAATGAAGCCTAGGAATATTAACTTTTTATTCCATTCAGCTATATGAAGCAGCTGATTCCCCATTTCGGCCCCTTTTCAATGAAACAGACCACAGGCTGCAAAGTAAGTTTAAAATGCTTTAGTTTCTAGGTCCCAGACATGCATCTTTGCTTATGCAAGAGCAATAAAAGAATGCAGGTAACAATATTCTTAGAATTGCAGCAAAGCAGCCTCAGACAGATGCACTCCAGAACATATATGCACAACTAAAGGAACAGTGTTTTGTATGGTACTTTCCTCTGTTATTTTCCCCCAGCAAGGCAAATAACATCTTGGAAAGAAAAGCACTTGAAATTGCACCTCTGAAGGAGCAGGTGAATAAGTTACAATTGCGGCTTCATGATGTGAGATCTGGTATGAAGGACATTGCCCATCATGCTGTCAGTAAAGTACTGGAAGGATATACTAGCAAAGGCATTACAAGATGGGTAAGATGAAGTAATGTGATTTGTAAACAACTGTCAGACTTTTGTATCTATTTTACTCTAATCAGGAACGACCAACCTACTTGACAACTGTACCATAAGTTGGATGCTAACACTATGCCACTCCATTGCACACTGCAGCACATACGCACAACCTTTTGCCTTGTGATTTCTTAGCTTCCATCTCATGAAGCTGAAGAACAAGCAACATTCCAAGGGAGGGAGGCAAGAGTGTCGGCCTCATTCTACCTATGCTATAGTCAGGCACAATAACAGAAATGCCAACGACAACCCTTTATTATCTGCACCTTCTAAGGTGCAGGTTGCCTCCCCTGCCCCCCCCCAATGAATAATTACAGTTTTTTGATTTCTGAAAAACTGCAGTCACAATTTAATATTATTCTTCAGGTTGCCCATTGTTTCTTTAAAGTTTTCCTATTGTGGTAATGATAAATGAATTATACCTCTTATCCATTGACAGAGTATTGAAAAGATGCTTAAAAAACTAATGGAAAAGCTGGATGAAGATGACGTCCAAATGCCTGACTATGCCCTCAAATCAGCAGGTATTAGAAACAGTTGTTAAACAAACTTGCCCATGGTATTTTGGACATTTTTTGTTATTCAAACACAGGAGTCTGTCAATATCACTGTGATCATTACGATGATAGTTCTGGTAAGCAGTTTCCACCAGTAAGATGCAGTATTCTGCCCTTAAATTGGGAGGGCAAGGCCTGCTGACATTTTCCTGATTATTATTATTATGCATTACTAACAGACCGACTAGGGACACGGGTGGCGCTGTGGGTAAAACCTCAGTGCCTAGGACTTGCTGATCCCAAGGTCGGCGGTTCGAATCCCCATGGCGGGGTGAGCTCCCGTCGTTCGGTCCCAGCTCCTGCCCACCTAGCAGTTCGAAAGCATGTCAAAGTGCAAGTAGATAAATAGGTACCGCTCCGATGGGAAGGTAAACGGTGTTTCAATGTGCGGCGCTGGTGCTGGCTCGCCAGATGCCGCTTAGTCACGCTGGCCACGTGACCCAGAAGTGTCTCCGGACAGCGCTGGCTCCCGGCCTCTTGAGCGAGATGAGCACGCAACCCTAGAGTCGGACACGACTGGCCCATACGGGCAGGGGTACCTTTACCTTTACCTTTAACAGACCGACTGGGGACATAGCCTTTAAAAATTCCTCCCATGCATAAATGCCCTTTTCAGTAGTCTCCCATCTCCACAGTGTGTTTTCCTTCTCTAGACTATGAGAAAGTGCATTTGTGGACAAACTGCCTCCATTAGCCACTCGCACAGCTAAAAGTAAACACACACATGCACTTTGGCAGAGCCTAGACTCTCTGCATAGTCTTCTGTGACAAGCTATACTACTGTTGTGTGCCTGAAATATCAGAAGTATTATTCTACAACTGTTTGATTTTAGGTGCCAACATTGTTCAGTCCAGAACTACTAGAAGCTACCACCATGATGGAGGAAAATACTTCTGGATGTCCTTCGTTATGCTTCCTTTTGTGAGGTCTCCAGATGTAATTCTTGAGGTAGAAATCAACTTTCAAGAAAGTATTCATGTTTTCTTATTTTGGATATTTTCTTTCTATACTACTTTTTCCACTTATGTACCGGTAACCATTTTATTCCTTTTCAGTATTTTCTGTCCAAAACCTTTGTCACTGCTTATGCCTGGCAGGCCAATGCTCTTGTAAAATCCTAATGAGCGTTTCTTAAATTCTCTGGGATTTAGGAATGATTAATTTGAAAATTGCCTCGAGTCACAACTTTTTCAGGGTTCATCTTGCCTTTTAGTGATCAAAACAGAATACTGTACAGTGTGAGCTGTGCAATTTTGTAGACAAGCTGAGAAATGAGTCATGAGTACGACAGTAGGGAAGAAAAAGGACAATGGGAGCTATAAGATAAATGTCAGAGCATGAAGTCAAATAAAAGATTGATGGTAAAAGAAAATTAATGGTGGGGTGTTTTCTCTGGATATTTAATTTTTAAAGTCATGCACATATTGAATGCATGTAAATGGGGGGTTCCGTGTACTGCAGAACATTGGGCTAGTGTACAGAAACATAAAAATCCGTTTAGAAGCAATATAGAATGACTCAAGCACCATTTAAAGAACTGTATAGGCCTGCTGGTATAAAAAAAAGTATTCAAGAGACATTTGAAAGTCAAATGCAAGGAAGCCCAGTGAATTTCTGCTGCAGGAGTGTTCCACAGCATTGGGGCAGCGATGCTTAATGTCTGACTTTTGACTGTTTGCTGGCTTTTTCAATGGTGTTTCAAATATACATGATTTCACTTAAACACACAGTGCCTTGGAACGTAACCTGAAGTAAATTGCCTGTAATGTCAATTTTAACTACATGGACCAGTTTAAATTCATTTGCTTTGGCTGAATTATAGCACCTATAACCTCAGCCACATAATATATAACCCATTCAGAATTTCTCTGCTCTCTTGCAGCCCAATTACCACCCTGGAAACTGCTGGTCTTTCCCTGGGAATCAAGGTGAAGTGGTTGTCAGGCTAGCCAAGGAAATTATTCCAAAATCTGTTACAATAGAGCATATTTCTAAGAAGGTCTCCCCAACAGGAGAGATTTCTAGTGCTCCCAAAGACTTTGCCATTTATGTAAGTGTAATATTCCAGTTTTCAGATTTGAGTTAGGGAATGAGTATTTTTCAAAGCAAATTATGAAATTATTATAACATGCAACTTGGATTTTTTCTCTTTAACATTTCTCTATAACATTTAAACAGTAGTATTTTTAATTGTATTGATAACTTAAAGAAATTAGCTGAAATAATTTCCCAATGCTTTGAACATCTTATGTGCATGCAGCTACAGTTCAGGGATCCTGAACATTCTTGCTAACCCATTAACAGCAGAAGCATACGTATCAACAGTAAATCCTAGATCTACTTACCTGGGCGTTGGTAGGCCTTACTTCTGAGTAAACATGCTGTAACTGGTTTGTGCCAGTTATGGGGAACTTTTGGCCCTCCAGATGTTGCTGCTTTTCAAATCACATCAGCCCTAGCAAGTGTGGCCGATATGTGGGCTGCTAGCTAGCATAGTTGTCATTGGAAACTGTGCATTTGTTTTCTGATCTAACCTATTTCTTGAGTGCTGATGATATGCTTTTTACTGTCCCCCCTCAAGGGACTAAAAGAGGAAAAGGAGGAGCTGGGAACTTTCCTAGGCCAGTTTCTTTATGACACTGAAGGAGATTTAATCCAAACATTCCAACTGAAGGTATGTTGAATATGACGGGAAATCGCCACAAAATTCTAATAAATGCAGTTGTTAGCTAGTTGGGTAATTAATACTCTTGGCCCAAGTGATCTGTGTGTCTTTTGATCACCAATACCTTGTGGGTAAAAGTCAGAAAAACAGAAGTCTGTTTCTGGAAGTCTGGCTATATGATTATCTTATATTTTATGTCAGGGAAAACTTAACTGATGGATAATTTCATTCAGCTGCACCAATAGGGCAAGGATTAAAATGCTTACTTTCTTTACTTTCAGAATGAATCGTCTGAATCTATGAGTTACGTGAAACTGAAAGTGCTGAGCAATTGGGGCCACCCGAACTACACCTGCATTTATCGCTTCAGGGTGCATGGAAATCTGCAGTACATCTAGATGCTCTGCGAAGGGTGTAGAAATAAGGCCAAAGCCTCATAGTGCTGAACTGAAGAGAATTTGCTGCGCTGCTTTTTCAGTTATAAAAGAAATATGCAACAACAGTTAACAGCTTGTGGAAAGTTGCTTTATTTGTCACTTTCATAACCGCATAGAAAATGCATAGCTGAATTTTAAACTATTTAGGGAACAAAAACTGGGAAGGGGGCGGAGATGTCCTCCACAGGATGGGTTTTCTTTTTAGGCTTTTCTGGGCACTCGGGGTCGAAAGGAAGCGGTTGCGAGCGACCTGCGGAGCCCCCTCCCGCGGAACCGGCGCGGCGGCGGGGGGGGGGCGGGGCGGGGCTGCCCTTGGCGACACTTCCGGCCCCCGAGGGAAGCCCGCCCCCCCTCCTGGCGCGCCGCTTCTCCCGCCATCGCGATGCGCTTCCGAGCCAAGATCTCGGACGCCGGCTGCCTGGCGCACTTCAGCCGTGAGTGGCGGGGGGGCGGGCGGGGAAGGCGCCGCTTTCGGCGGGGCGGCCTGGGGCTCACCCGGCTCTCCTTCCTTCCTTCCTCCCTCAGGCGCCGTGGCGACGGTGGCCAAGCTGGCCAAGGCGTGCGCGCTGCGCCTGACGGCCGAGCGGCTGGTCTTCGTGGCGGGCGCCCGAGGGGCCGCGGGGGGCGCCCGCCTGTGGTGCGAGGTCCGCCAGGTAGGCCGGGGCCGGGCGGCGGGACCCGAAGCCGGGCGGGCGGGGGGGGGGGGGCGCCCCGGTCGGTCTCACCCCGCTCCGCTCTTCCAGGGGAATGTCTTCGACGAGTTCCAGATGGAGGGAGCAGCCGCAGAGAAAAACGAAATCTATCTCGAGGTGACGCCGGAAAACTTGTCCCGAGCCTTAAAAACGGCGCAGAATGCGAAGGCGGTGAAAATCAAGTTGACGAACAAGCACTGCCCTTGCCTCACGGTCGCCGTAGAATTGGTGAGCAGAAATGGATGCGGGGGGGGGGGGGCGCCTCTCTCTCTGCCTCAGGAAAAAGGGCAGATTTTTGCCCGTGAAAAGGGAGGTCGCTTCCGGAGGAAAGCCCGCATTCCTCCCCCCGAGTGGCAGGTGGAGCTCCATCGGTGCCCCAGTTCCAGATGGTGGAAGCCGGGGTGGGAAGAGGGCCCAGGGCCCACCCCCCAGGGCTGCAGGCAGGTGTCAAATAGTGCTGGGGACCACATAGTGCCCTGCAGAGCCCCATAGCATTGGTACTAGGGGACCGAAGGACACTCCGGCAATGCTGTTCTCTAGACTCACCTGTGCAGGTAGACATGAAACCACTGTAACTGTGCCTATGAGCCCCATCTGAGCAGTTGGGCTGAGGGCACCATGATCAATGGGATCAAAAGCTGCCGAGAGTATGAGTCTCCGCGGTTGATCAGTACCTCCTGTCCCCACACTCATTCCGGGGATGAGTCAGTCCCAAAACTAGGCCTGAACTGAAGTTGATCCAGATAATCATGCCCATCCTGGAACACCTGAAGTTTCTCTGCCATAGCCCCCTCCCCCCCTTTTTTTCAAAGAAAGGCGGCATTCTTCCATATGTGTTTATAGGATTACAGCCTTCACTGTCGTGAATTTTGGTTATGTAACCTTTTGTTTTCTTCTCTCTAGCCTTCTTTATCCAGCACTAGCCGTGTCGTGACTCACGACATTCCTGTGGGTATTATCCCAAGAAAGCTGTGGAATGACTTCAGCGAACCAAGTGTGCCGGACTTTGATGTGAGCCCCTTTCAGTTTCCACAATATCAAAGTTAAATTGTTTGAACAGTATTCCAAATACTTCCCCTCTCAAAGGTATTCCACTCCAACAACAAAATTAATTTCCTTTTAGTTAAGATGATTGATTTCATTCAATCTAAAAGTGTTGTAGACTAATAAGCACATTGTGATAATGTAAACTGAGGATGAGTTGACTTTACATAAAGTTGTTTTTCATTATTCATGTTTGAATTACATCCATTACTCAATCGAATTACAGCCATTATTCTACCAAGGATTGCAATTAGTGCAAAAACTTCTTTTTAGAGAGAATGTGTATTTTACCAACTAAGACCAGTGAAAATTTACAGTGTGCTTTACAGTATCTCCTGAGTCCATTCCACATTCACTCTTTCATGCACTGCTGCCCATTCATATGACTTGCAAACCTAACTAATGTACCATTCACACAGCCATGCACACCCTCTTCACAATACTCAGCTTAACGCTTGGCTGCCAACATACCTACCAACTGGTCCTCGCTCTTGAGTGCTGCCCATTTAAAAACAACACAAACTTGGAGCAGTTGAAATATTTTCAGAGCCAAAACTCTCGCAGCCAAAAGCAAATGTGTTTTCAAATAATGCAACCTGAGTTTACTTCATTTTTTCCCCATTTCATTGGCTTGGTTTGCACTTAACCATATGTCAGGAGTGCTCTGATGGTGTTTCCTGCTTGGCAGGGGGTTGGACTCGATGGCCCTTGTGGTCTCTTCCAACTCTATGATTCTATGATTCTATGATTCTATGATTAATGTGAAGCAATTGTTTATTCCCCACAAGCAGTTAACAAATATACATACCACCAATACAATTCATTGCTAAGGGAGGCATCCATATTTCAGCCAAAAACTCATCTCCTCAAAAGTGTTTTAAGGCCCTGATTACAGTTTTGACAACTGCAAGGACTTCAGAAATGTATCTCTCTCCAAATAAGTTACTAAACATAAAACAAAACTTTAATTATCTTATTCTGATTAGAAGAAAGGGAGAGTAAACATTCCCTTGTGAAGAATGTTTTTTACAGTTATCTGAGGAAGTTCTTTGAAACAGGACCTTATTCAGAAGCCTGTGGCCAGCTGCTTAGCATTCGTCAATACAACAACAATAATTTTTGTGCTATATAGTTCATTGTAAGCCTTGCTGGAATGTTCACTTTCTGCTTATAATGATATATTGTTCATTTTATTGCAAACCTTTCTCATTATCAGTCTTGTTTCTCAGTGTCTTACGCCCTTCAACATTCTCGTAGTTGCTATATAGAACTGTGCCCTTGCATGTGACTTTATCCCTTTTAAATGGACGTTGGGGGTCATTGCCCAGGAACAGTGTGGGGCAGGCGTGGCTCATCTGCACTTTCAAGGGAGTTGATTTGATTTTGTAGGTCAGCATTTATTTACCAGCGCTGAAGACCATGAAGAGTGTTGTGGAGAGAATGAAAAACCTCTCCAATTCTATAGTAAGTTCTTATATTCTTAACGTGGGAGTAGAAGTGGGGAGAGAGAGATGCATCACTTGGGATGAGTTTTTATGCAATCATTTTAACCGCTGGGTCAAACTGGACAAGACACCATACAACTGGAAATTGTGCATTTTTTCTTACTTTTTATTTATTTATTTATTTTAGTAAATAGCAGGCTTGTGTGGCTAATCTAGTTTGGGACCTTGGGGGAAGCTGGAGGGCTTTAATTCTTTACCCCCACTATGGTACTGATCCAGATTGGATACCTGTGCTTGGTATTTACTTTAGAAAAGACCATCTTGCAGTTGCTAATTGTGTGAATGGTGCCTGGTCTTGGCTCTCACTTGATACTTTGCACGTAAGACTCCCATCAAGGTTTAGTTATCCAGGATTGCTCTCTGAGTACACAGCTGGTAAGCAATTGGAGCCACTGGAGATGACTAGCATATCATACCTATATGATCCCTCAACCCAGAGGTTTTCAACCTTTTTGAATCCACTGCTTCCTTGACCAGCTTCTTGAGTTCCTTATGGGATACCTGGTAAAAACTAAAACTTGACCATCATTCAAAGCACCCTAGGGCACCGTGGCACCACTTGAAAACCATTGGCCTATGCCAGTAAGCAATGTAAGGAAAAAGGATCCACACTGCAACATTCCATCTCTTTTCGACTTTGTAAGTGATAAGTAAGCATACACAGGGCTTTTTTTTTCTTTCTAGAAAAAGTGGTGCCAGAACTTGACCTTTTTTAGGGGAGCACCCACCCAAAGTTATTGCGCTTTTTAAAGGGGGGGATCACCCAACCAAAGTTGTTAAGTTGGAACGTGCCTAAGACGTGCCATATGGAAAAAAGCCCTGAGGATACACATTTTATATAGAATGCTTTACCTGGTTGCATGTCCTGTATACCTGTACAGCCTTCATTGCGAGATGGTGCCAATAATTCCCAGGCCACTGTCTGGTCCCTAAGACTATACAAATTAGTTATCCCTGCCAAACTGACCTTGTGAATGTACAATATTTTCCTCTTTTTTATTGCATGTTTATGAAATGCATGTTTAACTTGTAGCTATGGAATTTTGGCTATCAAGAATTTTACCTGCTCTTGTGTCTTAACAGCAGCTTGATCTGAAATCATTAGTAGATTGTGGTGTTATCTCAGCACTGGAAAGCTTCACTTGCCAAATCTGCAGATCAGTCTTCTGGTTTACCAGTACCAGAGAAGGCTAGGCTTACTTATTTGTCTGAGTCAGTTGACGCTTTTGTTCCATTGTTCACAGTACTAGAGACCATCACATGGATGATATTTTTACACACCTCCCTAATTTATATAACTGATTTTTTGATGTTTGGTGATTTGTTGATGCAGAGCTCTTAAGCAGAGTTGTCTCTGTTTATTTATTGATGTGTCTGGAGGCTTATATTTAGGAATAGAACCTTAATTGTTATAAGTGCATTCCCTTGACAAACAGGTGTTGGTAGAATACATTTAGTAGTTGTGAAAAGCATATGAACTGTTCTGTTTACATTGTAGGTAATAGAAGCAAATCTAAATGGAGAAATGAACTTGAAAATAGAAACTGATCTAGTGTGTGTTACAACCCACTTTAAAGACCTTGGGAATCCTCCCTGGGGTAAGCAATTTTCTTTTTTTGTCAGATAACAGATCCTAACAAAAGTACACAACAAAAGCTACAGTCCTGTGTACACTTATCAGGCAGTAAGGGCTTGCTTCTGAGTAACCATGCATAGGTTTGCAGTGCTCTGAAAGTAATCGCCAACAATTTTTAGCCAATTTTATAGTTGTAAAATAGAGCTAGCTTGAGTCTGTCTTTAATAGTTTTCTTTCCCCACGCTCAGATGTCAGTAACAAAGTGAAAGGAAGGAAATACTGATTTGCGGGTCAAATAATTGAAATAACATTGTAGCTTCAAACAATGGACTAATATACATAGTTAATTATCATGAATGGGGAAAATACAGATGTATTATGACTCGCAGGGGACCACATATACGTGCAGTGCCATGAAATAAATAAATAAATAAATAAATAAATAAATTCATTCAAATCTGGAAATGGCAGGAGAGAGCTGGAGAGCCCTTGTGGCTGGTGAGAAGACCCTCCACAGAGCCTGAAGAGGACGTCGGAGGAAGCCTAGAAGAGAGCAGAGGCATAGCAGAGCTTTGTTTACACTGCTCAGGCTCCCTGAGTAACAGCTGATGTGCACGGTAGCGCAGCAACAGCAGCCACTTTCCCACATGTCTTCCAGCCTCCTACCGGCCCCAGAGCTTCAATTCTAGTATTTTTTTGTATGGATGGAAGAGAGAGCGGCAGAGAGGGTGCTTAGAGAGCATTCCCCACTTTATGAGAATTCACTTATGTACACGGGGGCCCAGAACATAATTCCCACCTCCTCTGCAAATACAGAATTAGAGGATATGGTGAAATAGCTATTTGTCAGTATTCTTGGGAGTTCACAAATTTTAACTGATCTTAATGATTAACCAAAAAGGTGTGGTTGCCAGGCTCTTGCTGCTCCTGCAAAGTGTTGTTCCTGATCTCATATGCTATCACAGCCAGAGCTGGGCCACCCATAAGGGGACTAAGGCAGCTGCCTTGGGGGGTGGAATCCCTAGGGGCAGCACTCTCGCAGGTGCCCCACCCCTGCCGCCACCACCACCAGAGAAGCAAGAAGTGGCAGCTTCCTGCAAGAGCTCACAGAACTCTCGTTGAGTTATACTGCAAGATCTCACGGCTGCCTGCTCCTCTTGTCTCCAGCCAGGGACGGGGTGCACTACCAGAGAAGCACGGAGAAGTGCCGTGATCATAGCACAATATCCTGTTCCTTTTCCCAGCTCCAGACTTGGGAATTCCTTCTAATCTTCTTCTGCAGCTTGAACTGTATAGAGAGAGGTGGAGACTGTCACTGCAGTTGCACAGTCCTTTAGAAGGGCCTCAGAAGTCGAGTGCAGTTGCCGAAACAGTTTGCTCCTCTTCCACAGATCCAATATGGACACAAAGATGGTTGTTTGTAGCGCAGAAGCAAAATATCCTGCTGATCTCCATTGCGGCAAGGGAGGGTTGGGCTTAGTTTGATTTGCTGGTGCCCTTTTAAGGCACAGTACTAGAGTTCCTTTTCTTGCATCTGTGAAGAAGATTGGGCCTTCTCAGTTTTCTCCTGTGCTTCGGAGATACTCGGAGCACCTTGAAGGTACATAATTGAAGCCAGTTTCCTTCCCATCCTTGCAGCTGGGGCAGGGATTGCTCTCCATAGTTGTGATGGGTTTCTGAAGTTCTGTGCAACTTGCAGAGATAATCTCCACAGACAGATACCACAGCTCCAAGGTTGGGATGGTAGCTAGGATTTGTTAGGTGTGACAGAAGATGGTTGCGCACACTTCATGGTAAACATGATGACTAAAACTGGGGGCTCCTGGTGGTCCTGCTTATTACCTGATGCACTATGAAAAATCATTTTGGTAACACACACTAGTCTTCTCCTTTTCCTGAATGTATTGCAATGATGACCAGTACACACAGGAGCCTATGAACAGAGACATACCATGGGGTTGGCGAAACTGGTCCCCACTGCCCAGGCCCAGGGGGTGCAAAAATCACCCCAGATTACTCCAACTGAGGAAAGAGAGTTGTGTGGGGTGAGAGACACAAGAGGCAGATTGTATGGATAACAATTGCCTCAGAAGAAGTTGAGATGGGTGATGACTGGGTAGCTGGTGTCTCTGCTGCCGTCTTTGCTTCCACTACCAATGGAGGCTTTTAACTTCTCCCAACCTTCATGTGCACACACAGCCCTCAAAGTCCCCACTTTTCAGGGGCCTGCCTGCCTGCCTGCCTCCCTGCTTGCTGCTCTTGTGTGGTACTTGCTCAGCTGGTGGCTGTTGTGATGAAGTGTTTTTTTTCTGGGGTGGGGGTGTGCCAATACAGCACCTCTGCCTATGAACAAATCTCTGTGCGTACAGACACCTCTGGCTGGATGCAGTACAGGGTCTGAATATTACTGTAGTCAGTGTCAGTGAGCCCCATTCCAACACGTTCATCATCAGTGCCTGCCACTGCTAGTTCCTTCCTCTCTTCCTTCAGCCACTTCTGGCAGCTTTGGTAGCTCCTACAGCTAACCAGAGACTTACTTTCTTGCAAGCATCCGTGTGAACTGGCTCTGGGTCCACCCCTCCCCAGTGGCTGAGATTGGAGCTGTGATCTGGTCTCATGTGGTACTTACTTTATTTTTTATTTATTGAATTTATATGCTCCCCTATACCTGGAGGTCTCAAGGCAGTTCACAGAAAAGATCACAATATATAAAAACAAAATAAGAACAATAACCCAATAACACCCCCCAAAAAAGAGCCACTGCCCTGCTGACAAGTTAGCTACTAGCCTTGGTTTGTTCTCTCTGAAATGGAAGTATGAGGTGGTTGTCACAATGAGGAATAGAACATAGTACATACTGGCTGCTTGATCATGTTCATATGTACAGTGGTACCTCTAGTTACGAACTTAATTCATTCCCGAGGTCCGTTCTCTTAACTAGAGGCATGCTTTCACTAATGGGGCCTCTTGCTGCCGCTGTGCTGCCAGCACACAATTTCCTGGGGCAAAGTTCTCAATTCGAGGTAACTTCCAGGTTAGCGGAGTTTGTAACCTGAAGTGTTTGTAACCTGAGATGCTTGTAACTCGAGGTACCACTGTACTTGGAAGTAAAATGCACAGATTACAGCCTTAAACTGTTAATGGAAATTATGTACAACCCTTTAAAAAACTTGTTCTAGTTAATAAAAGTTTCTATTTTTTGTGAATTTCTGTAGGCTCCCAAAAGTCGAGTCAAGAGAGAGATCTCGAGACCATGGCCGAGGCCCGCATTGACATTAAGAGACTTCTCCAGTTACTTGCAGGGCAGCAAGTGAATCCCACAAAAGCACTATGTAGTAAGTGACCCTTTTGGCCTGTTGTTTGAACAAGTCATTTGCCACTCTGAAGAAGATACCACGTGTTTGGAAGGGATTGCCATATCCTTCCTGTAAAAGCAAATTTCAACATTTCCACACACCACTGTATTTAGACCAGCATTCTTAGGGCCAAACCGGACACCATGGGGGGATTGTTGCTGTTATTGATAGTAATTTTTTCTTATCTTTATTTTAGATGTTATGATTTATGTGGAAATTTGGTTGTGTATATTTTGATATTTCTTTATTGTTTATGACTACTTTCATTATATTTGTAATTAAGTTCTGTTTCCCCCCCACACACCATGTTGTAAGCCACCTTGAGCATGGTTTTAACTGTGGAAAGGTGGCATACGAATAAAATTATATATGTATGTATGAATCATGTTTATATACCGTATTTTTCTCCCTATAGGACGCACTTTTCCCCCTCCAAAAATGAAGGGGAAATGTGTGTGCGTCCTATGGGGCGAATGCAGGCTTTCACTGAAGCCTGGAGAGCGAGGGGGGTTGGTGCGCACCGACCCCTCTCGCTCTCCAGGCTTCAGGAAGCTACCCGCAAGCCGTGGGAGAGCTGCACGACTTCGCACAGCTCTCCCATGGCTAGCGGACAGCTTGCCTGCACCCAGAAGCTTGGGGCGCACTGAGCTCAGCACACCCCAGGCTTCGGGCTTCGCGCAGCTCTCCCACAGCTTGCGGATAGCAGCCTGTTCTGGGGTCGGGGGAAGCTCGGGCTTCCCCCACCCCAGCCCCGCACCTGGGGGGGAAATAAAAAAAAAATCTTTATTTCCCCCCCCCAAAAAAACTAGGTGCGCCTATGGGGCGAAAAATACGGTAACTCACCTCAGCCCTCCCTTGCCCAGCTCCACCAGGGCATATGCATCTGTAGGCAGAGTCAGGTCTGCTGTCAAGTGGCTGTTGTTGAAAGTACCTTTTGTCTAGGTGGGAGGACCTGACACAGCTTTTCTTTTTGTTGTCTTTCTCCTGGTTGGGAAAAACAGTTTTAAAAAAGTTTTGGAGGCTGATGGTAGCCATGTTCAAAATATTCCAGACCTCCTGCAGCTTGGCCTCTGCATCTGTTTGGCCTTCAAAACTGGAGAATGTTGGCTATTGTTGAACATGATATTTTGGGCCCTCTGTCATCCTTTGAAGTTTAAAATATGGACTTGTGTTTTGCAGATATTGCAAGCAAAAGGATTGTTCACTTCATCTTGCTCCACGAAGATGTTTCTCTTCAATATTTCATTCCAGCCCTTGTATGAATTGAACAGTTGTTCCAGCTCACCTGTTTTCAATGCTGCAGTGTCTTCTCAAAGGCGCTGAACCAGACACAGGAAGATGGGGTGGGGGACACGAGTGCTTGCTATGCTTGTTTAAACCCCTTTTGTAATCAGATTCTGTGCAGAGAACTGTATATTTAATACCTTATATTTGGTAAATAGAAGAAGTAAAAAAAAATCTGTTTGACTGGGCTATATATTTTATTAAAGAAACAGTCCATTAGATCTTTAGTTATTCTGGTTCTCCATGCAGCAAAAGAACTGTTGGTTTTTTCTTTAAAAAAATCTTGTTTCTCAGTCACCTGTCAGTTCCATATATTCTACACCTCCTGTCCATTCCATCATTCATTACTGCATATTAAAATTCTCCAGTACCCTCAGAGCTTCCATTTAGGCAACAGATTGATCCCAGTTAGGATTCTGACTTCCAAGTAGCTGTGGACCTCTAGGGTCAGGGCACACACATCAGAAACTTTAACTGGGCAATATATATATATATTGGCAACAATGTTTATCATTAAGACGATCATCTTTTCTAAGCAATAAATGAAGTTTACTAATTTATAGGTATGTAAAGTAATTTTAAAAATGTATCATACTGTTAGAGGTTTGTAGGTGCTAGAATTTAATTCAGGCTTGGGCATCAAAAGCTTATTAAGGTAGGCTAGTCTCTGATGTGAAGTGAAAGCTAGACCCATTCCTGTATTTGAGCTCTGTGTTAGATTCTTTTAATTCTCTGAAATTAAAGGTGTGAAATAACTAATTTAGCTAGACCAGGGGTAGGCAACCTAAGACCCGGGGTCCGGATGCGGCCCAATCGCCTTCTCAATCCGGCCCGCAGACGGTCCAGGAATCAGCGTGTTTTTACATTAGTAGAATGTGTCCTTTTATTTAAAATGCATCTCTGGGTTATTTGTGGGGCATAGAAATTTGTTCACCCCCCCCCCAATATAGTCCACCCCCCAACAAGGTCTGAGGGATGGTGGACTGGCCCATGGCTAAAAAATGTTGCTGACCCCTGAGCTGGACAAACCTCCTAAATTGCTAATCGATTGGATTTCATTGCTGGCATCCAGCTGTCTTAGGAAACAATGGAGGAGAGTGTTTTGGGTGTGAAATCAAATGGTTGAAAGATTGCAGCGCCTGCTGTGGCTGTAGAGACCAATATGGGAGAGACATACTTTGTTGCAGCTGGGGCAGATGAAGGCATCCGGTTGCACTGATTCAGATGCACCAGGGCGTTTATTTTCTTAATAGTCATTCCTCCTCTGGTTACTGCTATGAATGCATGAGCTGACTGGCTGTCTCTAGGCACGGCAGGGTTGGAGCAAGACAGGCACTCGGAGGCAACAGGATTTCTCTTTCTTCTTAAAACACACTGGTTCCCAGGATTCCTGGCTCATCCTGTATGGAGCTGTTATCCAAGATGTCTGTCTTGTGACAGATTCAGGCTGGCCAGAATAAATTTAGCCTCTCGAAGCATAGATGCCATCAGAAACCCATCAGCCTTTACTGTAAGTTTAAAAGGGAACTCCCACCAATATTGTGTCCTCACCTTTCAAAGTACTTATGTAATAGGTTTGGACTGTCTCTATATTTTTAACATTTCTGGGAAGATTACCTGAAAAAATTGGAGTGCTGCATATTGATATTAGACAATTCTAAAATTTCACAAGCCATCATATGTTGCCTCTTTAGTGCAATATTTTTTGGAACACGTGATGAAATTCCTAGAGGTCCCACCATTTTATCTGCAGGGCCCTTGCACTCTGTGTTCCATTTCAACAACTTGTGGGGCAAGCATGCACTCGAGAGCTATGTCTTTAAACCACAAGGAAGCTGCAGAATTCAAACACTCCCACCCTCTTCCTGTTCTCATATCTCATCTACAGCAGTAAAAGGGGAAAGGAGAAGAAGCACCAGGCTTGTCTGTACTTGTAACCCTCTTTCCTTTCAGGCATAGGAACCGTAACTTTAGGAACTCTTCTCATTTATACTTACACTTGCTAAGATTCAGTGGCCACCAATCAGCCATGGAAGTAACAGAATTTTTTTTTAATGAAAAATTGGCACTGACAGGAGTCCAATGTCTCTCTCAAGGCATGAATAAATCATGCGGCCACCCTCCTTCCCTTGGAGTAGAGAATGGCGTCAGAAGGCAGAACATACATTTCACTAAACCGCTACACAGCCTCAACTTTATGTGATGTGGCAGGCACAGCAGGGGGCGTCCCTAAGCTGAATGAATTACAAGGCAGTGCAAGTGTGCTTTGTCTGTGCTTGGAGAAACAATATTTTGGTTAGCACTCCGTGAATAGCTGGACCATGTTTTCGCCTGTACTTAAAAGCTTTGGGAGTTGATGCAAACTGTTATGTTGCCATAGGTGGGCCCTGGAATAACATCCTTCTCTTTTTCTGGCAGAATGTGTGTCTGTCTGTCTGTGTGGGTCCATGCTGTTTGTTCTGTGTCTCCAGAAAGGCTTTGCAAACTGCAGCGTCAAGTGGAAGTGGAAAAGCAGGATGTTTTCTTTGCAGGAAGGTCCCCTGTGCAGTTAGTCTGCCATCAGCATTTGACTTTCAAAACAGGAGTTGCCTGGTGCGAAGCAGGCAGAGGAAAGTCCAGATGCCACCACCGAAATCATCTTCCCCTGTGTCAGTTCTCAACTGACAAAGCAGAATGAAAAGAACACAAGGATTTTCCACCCATCAAGGCCTTTTAAACCTTTCCTCTGCTGAAACTCTAGTAGTGGTGTTAGAAAGAAAGTTCTTGACTTGGTCAGTAGGTGCTGGGTAATTTGTTCAGACATTTTGAAATGAATGTCAAAATTAGGGATTTGTCCTTGTCTGAATGGGCCTGCCACTAAATTATACAGCAAAAAAAAAAAGGGGGGGGACCACATAGGGATTTTTAAAAAGAAAGTTCCAAGCTGCAGTTTGGGATGGGGATCCACCCCTTGTACATCTACGCAAATCACTTTCTTGCTCAGCAAGCGGATTACAAATGCCGCTGTTTTCTCCAGATAAAGTTATTTCCGATTTTGAAGTAAAGCTGCAGTCATAGGCACACTTATTTGAAAGCAAGTTCCACTAAATTTAGTTCTGTGTGATTTGCTTTCAGCTAAGTGTGCCTTGAACGACAGTCTTACTTCCAAATCAGAAATCATTTTACCCAGAGGAAACCATGGCTGCAATTATCATTATTAATTTTTTATACTGCCTTTCATCTGATGATCACAGGGTAGTTTACAGAATAAAGACAAAAGCATCCAGTTGCCTTAGATGATTTGAGGCAACGCATCACGGGGGGGGGGGGGGCGGGATGGCGGCCTGGCCAGGGCCCGGATCCCCCTCCTGGGCAGGGCGCTTCCTCGAGGGGCTGCCTGCGCGGCACAAGCCCCGCCCGCCCGCCCGCCCGCCCGCCGGCTTGGGCTGCAGGCGCGGCTGGGAGAAAAGCGGCAACGGAAAGACAACCGGAGCCGCTTCTCGGCGGATCCCGCCTGGGGGCCGCGGGCGCAAAGGCGGCGCTGCTCCGGGGGCGCCGGGCAGGGACGCGGCGAGCAGGTAAGGCGGCGCTGCCTTCCTTCCTTCCTTCCTGCAAGGAAATCTCGGCCGACCTCGCTTTGCTCTCGGGCTGCCCCACATGAAGTCGGTTGTCGGTTTGCATCTCGCAGTTGCTTCCCAGTGTGGGGCGAATTCAAGAAATGCGCGGCGGGATTCTGGAAAGGGAAAGGCTTTTGTGGGGCACGTGTGCTCTTTGCTCGTGCGAATGAACAACGTACACGTACACTTCGATTATGCTCCCTTCTAATCTCTTTCGTGAGATGCAGATGGCTGAAATAGGTTTTTGAAAAGAAAAGCAGCAGTATAGCCTGCATTACCAAAGGTGGGCTTTCTTGATTTGGACCTGTTTGCCTGTTCTAGGGAAGCAGGTTTGGTGTGACTTGTGCAGACGCGGCCCCGGCCGCCTGCCCGCTCCATCCTGCTGGTGCTGCTGGTCCCACCAGGAACTGTTGAGCTAGAACTGGGAGCTGCCAGCGAGGGGCCACTGGGGATGCAGGTGGAAATCTTTGCAGAGCTCAGAGCTCCAGGTGCAAAAACTTCGGGGCCAGCCTTTGCCTTTGCTCATCTGCTCAGTTCCTTGTCCTGGGGAGTCCTGCTCCCACTTTCTCGCTCTCTAGGGTGCCTGCAGCCTAGCAGCACACCATGGGAAGCCCCACTCTTTGACCACTGCCTGGCTTTGGAGACTGCCCACCAGCTAAAGGCAGTGAGTGGTGGATGCCACTAGGTTGTTTCCATAGACTGTACTGGTTCCAAGGCACATGCAGACATTATTCCCGTGTGCGGTTAGGGACACTGAGCATTCCTTGGGAGCAGAGATGATGGCCCTGAGCACCCTAAGCCCAAACTCTATGTGAGAGTGAGGCTCCATGTCTCCAAAGGAAGTGGAGGATTTCATCCTTAAGGAAGGCGATGGATTGGCTGTGGATGACTTTGCTGCTGGAGACAAGGCTCCTCAGAGAAGCTGCTCGAGACTGTCAGATGTCTCTGGAAGACCTTTCTATACCTACAGGCCTTTACAGCTGATTGGCCAGCAATGCTAATGATTATCTATAGTGCTTGATGTGCTACAGTGGCACACCACCTTGATGTTTACAGGGTGTATGAGGTGTAAGGAGAGGGCGAGACCTCTAGTGGGAGACACTTTTGGTCACCACCCTGAACTCAGCTCTCACCTGTGGCTCTAAGAAGCCCTCAGCCTGTGACAGCGGCCACACATGGGAAAGCTAGCTAGTGCTCCTCTGTGTGCAATGGATGGAGCAAGGTTTCTTTGCTCTTCAGAAAACAGTGTGTCCATTTTGGGGGGAAACCCCTCAACCAACAGGTTTGTTTTAATAATTGGATGCTCTGTTTCTAAATTTCAAACTTTCATTTGCTTGTGTCTTGCTACATTTCACACACTGACGGATGCTGTTCCCGCCCCCCTCCAATACTAGTACAGTCATACCTTGGTTCTCGAATGCCTTGGGACTCGAACATTTTGGCTCCCAAACCCCGCAACCCCGGAAGTGAGTGTTCCTGTTTGCAAATGTTCTTTGGAAGCTGGTCGTCCAATGCGGCTTCTGACTGAGTGCAAGGAGCTCCTGCAGCCATTCGGAAGCTGCGCCTTGGTTTTCAAAAGTTTCCGGGAGTCGAAAGGACTTCTGGAACAGATTCCGTCCGAGAACCAAGGTACGACTGTAAGCCCATCTTTCATGCATTGTTGAGGAAATATTTGGACCCTTTTAGTAGTTGTGTCTTTTCTTTGCTTCCCTGGGTTTTTCTCTTCAGCAAAGCTTGTCTTTGATGTTGTGCAAGAGGCCAGGTCATCTTTACCACCATTCTGGTTGCATTTTCTTACCAAAAAGGCTTCCATGACATCCAAAAGGATTCAGCTGTCCCTCCTCATCTACATCTCCACTTGCTTCCTGTTCCTTCTGCCGCCTCCTTTCTTTCTCCATCATTCTTTTCTTTCCTTCTCTTATGTTTGTCCTCATGTCACCTGTCTTGGTCTTGCCTTTGTTTCTCTCTCTTCTCTCTCACCCTCTGCCTTTTTGCCTCCTTCCGGCACTCTCTCAGACTTGCCGCCTTCTTTCACAGCCCTCCAAAGACCAGCTGTCTCCCTGTTGCTGTTTCCTCTCTGCCAACATCTTTCCAAAAATCCTTTCCATCTTTCACTGTTTTCTGTCATATAATTGTCTTAATTTATTTTAACCTTATCTTACCATTAATACCCTGAAACTTATTAGTACTTAACTCCTTATAACGTTTCTACTAAAGCCGTGTAATTTCATTCCAACATTTTTCTAACACTCATTAATTTAACAATATTTCTATAAATAAATTTTAAACTTTTTTCCAGTCTTCTTCCACCGTCTCTTCTCCCTGGTCTCGGATTCTGCCAGTCCTTTCTATCAATTCCATATGGTCCATCAACCTGGTGATCTTCTGTCCGAGGCTCTTAACTCTTTTCCATGTCCCTTCTGCAGATCTTCTTCATATTTATACATGCACTTTACTTTATCTTCTGCTGATCTTGTTCTTAATTTCCTTCCTTTGGCGCTGAGGAGTAGATCTCGGGGAAGCTCCAACCTAACAATGTCTTTATTCCTTCTCGACAGGTCAGCCCATTCTCCATAATCAAAACTAAAGTCCAAAAGATATTTCAGGACGTGTTTCAAAATCCCTCCGAAGCTGAAGGCCCCCACAACTCCAATCTCCCCCTGACCCAAATCCAGATCCCAAAAGCCAGTACATCCCTGCATAAGGGGATCTATCCAACTTTCCTTCTCCAATCCAAGCGGGGCTCCATCCCTCCAAATCTGGCTTTCTCTAAATTCAATCGTAGAAGGCAACAGCTTATATTCATCAAATTGCCTTTGTAAGGCTGGGGCTCTCTCCACTTGTATTACTTGAGGTTCAACAACAACTTTCTCCCTCGTCTTCTCCACAACTTGCCATGTCAAAGTAGATTCCTGAATCAATTCCTGAGTAGTTTCTATATAGATATTCACTTTTTGTCCCAAATCAGTCATTTTTTGTCCCAAATTATCAATTTTAATAGTCATCACATCCATCTTCTCATGAAGCTGTTCCAATAAAGCACTTATCTTGCAAAATGCAATCACTAAGGCTTCTTCTGTTGACATTCTTGTCCAAGGTCAATCTCTAATTCTCACGGTCTTTTATCTCTGCAGCTGGAAAATTCCCCGGCTCCACTCCTGCAACAGTTTCAAAAGCTCCCTCTAGAGGAAACAATTTCTATTTGTATCCGTCCTTTTAAACGCAGATCCAGCAACAAAGTTAGTTTCAATTTTCAGTTACTTTTGCTCCTTTTTAAGTGCAAAAGGAAACAATGGAAACAATATATTTCTCTTATTTAACTATCTGTCAACATACGTTTTATTCACAGTCAATGAACTTTCCCAAAACGTCAATCTTACTGGCAGCCCGTTCCCAGGTTCAAAACAGTGGTAATTTATCTTTCTTCACTCTCTCTCCTGCAGGCTTAGGCGATCTAAAATTTCCCCCCTCTTCTCCTGCTTCCAAGGGGGGTTTAATAATTTTAACCGATGGAAATTTAATCCTTTATGAAAGGCTTTCCAAGACTTTAGCTTGCAGCGTCTTTGCTTCAATCTATTTACAAAAGAGGAAGGCGGACTTCCGGTTTGAAACCTTCCCAGTGGTATTATCCTGATCTCTCCCTTCTCAACCACCACCCCCCAATGTGTGTGTGTTGACTCTCACTATTGAAATTTAGTTTTAGAATAAACTGTTTGGGGCAAAGCTGGATCTGCAAGTTTTCCTTATTAGACATCCAAGAAGCTGAATGTTGGAAGATTCAGGGCAGATTAAAGAAAGTGTTTATGAACGCAGCACACAGCCAAACTCTGGGACAAAGAGGAGGCCATGATGGCACCAACATAGATGGCTTTAAAAGAGGACTGGACAAATTGATGGAGGTTAGGGCTATCAATGGCTACTGTGTGTGTGTTTGTGTCGTCCCTAGTAAAAGACTGTGATTTTCTTGGGAAGGCCCTAGCAGCCTCACACTTTTGAAAACCACTACCTGTTTTAGTCTATAGGTATCCACCTAAAATATAAAGTGTAAATGTGAGAAACATGTTTGGAGACACCAGCAACATATGAACATGCTCATTGCAGAGCAGAGATGGGTTGGATCTTGTTGTAAACAAAAAAATCTGCCCTTTTCCCCTTATGGGGTATCCAAGAGCCCATATAGAGTCCTTACGTAGGTTCCCTATTGGTAGGAGAAAATAACAGAGGCCAACCAGAGAATATTGAGAAGCAAAGCAGCTAGTAAGCCTGATCTTTATTGATCTGTTGCAACAGGGTCCTCACTCACCACATGCAGGAGGGAGGAGGAACCCAGAACAATGGTGTGCAAGCCCTTATATAGACTTCTGAAATTCCCACCCTGTAGATCAAGACCACCCCCCAGATACATCATACCTACATCACAGAAAGGGTGGTCTACAGTAGAAATCTGAGTGCTTTGTTTGCCTCCTGTCCACCAGGTTACCTGTTTAATGGTCACTTGATTGGATTGCCTGGGGAGCCTGGCCAGTCTTTTGTAATGATAAATACTTAGTTCCTGAGCCAGGTCAGACTCACACCCTATTCATATCTTAAATGTGCCCTTAAGACAGGATTTGTGAAGGAAAAGACAATGGGGAGGCTTTTCCATTTTCCTTTGACCTTGCAGAGAAATAATTGAGATCAGTTTGGGAATCAAAAATGGTTTCAGGTCGCTCTTCCTGTGCTGATCTATGTACGTGCTTGGTTGGTACACTTATGAACATTTAAGACCTCAAAATTCTTATCACAATCTCTACTGCTGCTTGTACACCCTGGTAAATCTAGGTCTGTTGCTGCATAATGTGTGAAATGGTTTCCTTATTCACCTAGGAAAAACAGTATGCTGAAACAATTTGATCCTTAAAGGTATATTCCAACCTGTTTATTTCATATACAGTGGTACCTCGGGTTAAGTACTTAATTCGTTCTGGAGGTCCGTTCTTAACCTGACACTGTTCTTAACCTGAAGCACCACTTTAGCTAATGTGGCCTCCTGCTGCTGCCGCGCCGCCACTACATGATTTCTGCTCTCATCCTGAAGCAAAGTTCTAAACCCGAGGTAATATTTCTGGGTTAGCGGAGTCTGTAACCTGAAGCATATGTAACCCGAGGTACCACTGTATGTCCCTTGTGATTTTGCTCTTAAAGCGATATTATTGTCATTGGTTTGTGGGGTGCCTGGGATCCCCTTCCAATTCCTGGGCGCCAGACACTGGATTTAGTATGTTAAAATGCAAGCAAGCCTAGTGATGGGTCCTTAACTGGAACAAAGGGAGTGGCTCTCTGCCAGAGGGCAAATGAGAGGCGACCCACTTTCAACTCAGTTCAAAAGACAGAGTGTATAGAGTTGGAAGGATTGCAGCTGGGGGTGATGTGGGCTGGAGGAAAAGTCCTGGCCACCCTGACATGGGGAGAAGCGGGACCCTCTTGAGTGTAAGGCTGGAAGCCCCTCCATCCCAGGCTCAGGTTGTGTATATGTGGAAAGACACCACAATCTCCGCTTCGCCTCATTCTCCAAAGGGAAACTCAGAACCTGGGTAAACACGACTGGCGCCCCTGGAACCTTACACTGCTCAGAGATTGGGGGCAGCGTGTAACAGTATTAAGCAAATAAGATTTACCGTTTTATGAAGGGGAGCATTCACTTCTTTAAAACAGGCTTTTTTTCTGGTGTTCAGCTGCAGTTCTGAGGCTGTTTGGCTCTCTCCTTGACACAGAGCGCTTGCTTTTCAGAAGGGGCAGAAACAAATGCTTGTAGTGCGAGGGTTGGAGGAAAGACACAGAAAATAATGCAATATTTGATATTCTTAATCAAACACCCAGTGATATAACAGAGGGGGCAGCGTTGTACCACATGTGAAATGCAGCCTTCCACTGTTCTTCCTTTCTGGGGCTTAGTGGCATGCTATGCTGGAAGAAGAACAACTACTATAGTGTGAGCAAATGTATTTAACTGCACAGGCAGCAACTGCTTACTAATTGTACCTTTTTGGGGGTGTAACACTGATATAAGAAAATATATTGGTTATCTTGACCATGATTGCTGCTGCCAGGATTCAATTTGGAGTTTAGTTTTGTGTGCAGTTTGGTGGTTAATCCTAAACTGCATATTGTCACAACAAGCAGGCTGGAACCCATAGTTGAGACTAACCACAGTACATAACACGGTATTTAGTAATCTTGTGAGAGTTTTCCAATATCCATTGTTTAAAGTTCACCAAATGAGTATTTTGGCTTTTGTTTCAACTCCAATCCCTGGGAATAAATACTCTCTCAACAGTGAGATCATCAAACTCCCTGTCAATTAAACATGCACAGCTCCTTCTCCCCTCCTCACCCGCCCGTTTCGCGCAAAGAGCACATATTTAGCTACACAGAAACAAATATTTCCTAATAAGTTTTTCCAGATGAATGAACAGTTACAAAAGGCTGCCTCCGAATGTAGCACAAAACATAAATAAATCACAAGATAACCTCTGCAATATAATTACAGGCTATTTTCCATCGTTAGCAGGGAGTCATTTGGTTCTTTGTACTCTGTCTGAAGATATCTGAGGTTTTCTTGTTTGCTCTAGTTTATTGTTAGACAAGCTAAGGTCAAACTCAGTCCCACACCCCTTGTGTACTTACGTGCACAGAAGCAGACATAACCAGAAAAGTTAAAGGCACAACAATTATATTTCAGTTCCCATGCATAGTATCTTTCTGGATTGCACCACTCTGGGGGGTGGTAACAAGGTAGGTCCCCCTTACTTGGAAGATGTGGGGCATGCCAACCGAGAGTTTGCCATTTTGTGCAAATGGCTGGGGACAAAAGCTACTTCAGCCAGTACTCCACAACCTCAGGAAGTCAGACAAAAGATAAGGACATTGTCTATGCCCCTTAACATGCTCTATGAGTGGGCTTCAGGTAGCTAAAAAGTCAAAATGTTGCCTTTCTTTCTGACAATTGTGCATTGAGCATGTTTTTCTACAAGCACGATATGCAAATGTCTATGGAGCTGTTGCTCAAAAATTAAGTTGACCGTCGGCTTCCAGGTTTTTGCAATTTCTA